TATGAAAGGTTATCAGAGTTCAGATTGCCCTGGGAGATCAAAGGGAACAAACAGACTGCCATTAATAAACTCAACCTGCGAGTGCGCAGCGGACAAATGCTGGCCATCATTGGCAGCTCAGGTAAAGTAGAACTGACCTGCAGAACAATTTCATTTTATAAATATCAGAGACTATATCAGTCTTTTTAATATGCCTGCAAAAACCTTTCCACAGGCTGTGGTAAAACGTCTCTTTTGGACATTATAACCTGTCGAGATGAGGGTGGTACAATGACCTCAGGTCAGATTCTCATCAATGGCAAACCCAACACACCCAGAGTCGTGAGGAAGACCATCGCTCATGTGCGCCAAGATGACCGCCTTCTCCCTCATCTGACTGTGCGAGAGACTCTCGTCTTTGTGGCCAAGCTTAGGCTGCCCACCCACTTCACCAAGGCCCAGAGGGACAAGAGGGTCAATAAAACAAACGTGTTATTAAATGTAATTAACAGGGGTTAAAGTGTACCTGGCTGATGTGTTCTAAATCACAGGTAGATGATGTCATTGCCGAGTTGAGACTCAGACAGTGTGCTAACACCAGAGTGGGGAACGATTATGTGAGAGGGGTTTCAGGAGGAGAGAGGAGGAGAGTGAGCATCGCTGTGCAGCTCCTGTGGAATCCAGGTAAAGAATAAGGCTTTTTCAGTGACACATCTGCATATCATTCAGACATCCTTTAGATTTTTGCCAACATTATTACAAAATGCAAATAAAGCATATTTAATCATATCATACCTATCATGTATTCATGTATTTTAGGTATTTTGATTCTTGATGAGCCCACTTCAGGCTTAGATAGCTTCACGGCTCATAACCTGGTGATCACTCTGTCCCGGCTGGCCCGTGGAAACCGTCTCGTGCTGCTGTCCGTGCACCAGCCTCGCTCCGATATCTTCCAGCTCTTTGACCTGGTGGTTCTGCTCTCCTCTGGCTCTGCGGTCTACTGTGGTGCTGCGCGCGACATGGTGCCTTACTTCACCGCCCTGGGATACCCCTGCCCTCGCTACTGCAACCCGTCAGACTTTTATGGTATCTATTGTATTTTCACTAAGCTGTTCTAGTATTACTCATGTATAGTATTTACTAACCTTGTTTATGTATTGTATGCCCAGTGGATCTCATCAGCATAGACAGACGCAGTGCAGAGTTGGAGGCAGAGTGTTTGCAGCGGGCCCGGGTTTTAGCTGAACAGTTCAAAGAAAAAGTGAAAGATACAGATGACCACATGTGGAAATCAGACAGAGGCAGTACATCGTCCTTCCAAGGAAATGAGTAAGTTGTTTTTGTTTGATCTTATATGTAATAATATAATAATATATTTAATAACTTTATAGACATGTGAGCCCTAATATTGAAGGAGAGGAGTTGATCACAATTACAAATCAAGGAAGTGAACTACCAGGGAGACTTCATCAGTTCACTGTACTCATCAGGTAACATCAGCTTACAGAATATTCTGCACACAGTAAACTTGGCACTTAAGTTTATAGTACAGTAATACCATAGTAAAAGCCTTGAAACTGAGTAACTGCTTTTGGAAACAGGACAAGGACACATGTGTTGTATTTAATTTCATGGTAATCCCAGTTACCATGTTATTTCCATTGTATTATCACAATATTACTGTAGAGTAAAATGCAACGTACCCCTTCTTTCAGGCGTCACATGTATAATGACTACAGAGACCTGGTCACTATATTGGTCCATGGTTTTGAAGCCCTCCTCATGTCTTTGCTTGTCGGGTTCCTTTACTATGGAGCAGGACCAGAGCCTCTGTCCATACAAGACACAGTGGCACTTCTCTACATGGTCGGAGCGCTCACCCCATTTGCTGTGGTGCTGGACGTCATAGCTAAATGTAAGTATGCATAAGAATGTAAGATTTAGTTGCTTTATATTGATTATATCAACTGAGATAACAAAAGTTCTCCAAGTTTCCTGTCACTACATGCAATAAAATAGTTAACATAAGTGCAGATAATATTCATTTTAAGATATCAACTATTGAGTTAGGTCAAGGTTTAGGGAACCACACCCAGGAGGTGTAATAGAACTTATTTAGGTCAGGTTATGTTATTTTATTTGTCATTTGTAGTGAAAAACTGTATTGGAAAAATATATGCAAAAAGCTTAAATTGCACCAAGAGATATTAAGCAATCACATTAACTACTCCTAGGAATTACTAACATGGCAGTTGTATCTTTTATAGCAATACATTTGACAGACTTTTTAACTTTTAAATTATGCTGAAGGTCACTCAGAACGTGCAATGCTTTACCATGAGCTGGAGGATGGCTTGTATGCAGTCTCAGCCTACTTCTTTGCTAAGGTAACCCTCTGAATAACAATAATGTCCAGCAGGGGTCAGTGCAACACTATCTCTAAACTGGAAACTGTATTTTGAGCTTCAATTTATACCACCAAGTAATTTAATTAATAAAAATAATTAAGCTTTGTGGGGTTAACTTTTTTGAATATTTTTTTTCTTTACACTTTCAGGTTTTGGGGGAGTTGCCAGAACACTGTGTTTTTACATTGGTTTATGGTCTACCCATCTACTGGCTTGCTGGACTGAACACTGTTCCAACCCGCTTTCTGCTGAACTTCTTGTTGGCGTGGCTCATGGTCTATTGCAGCCGGGCCATGGCTCTGTTTGTAGCTGCAGCTCTGCCCACACTGCAGACCTCTGCCTTCATGGGAAACTCTTTGTTCACCATCTTCTACCTGACGGGGGGCTTTGTCATCAGTATGCAAAATATGTGGCTTGGTGAGGTTAAATAAAACATTAATATATATATTTATTAATTAATCATTTTAATATCCTGGCTTTATACATTTATACCTGCTTTATCCTGCAGTGGCGTCATGGCTGTCCTATGCTTCCTTTGTGCGCTGGGGCTTTGAGGGAATGCTTCAGGTGCAGTTCAGAGGCATCAAGTATCCAGTCACTGTGGGGAATGTCACCTTTGAGGTCGATGGCATAGAAGTGAGTTACACTTCATTGCATTCAAAGAATAAACATGGTGAACATGGGTCACTCATTCAGTTTTTTTTTTGTTTTTTTTTCAGGTGGTAGAAATCATGGGCATGAACCAATACCCTCTGTACTCATGTTATTTGGTGCTCCTGGGAATCTGTCTGGGATTCATGGTCCTTTACTACATATGCCTAAAGTACATCAAGCAGAAGTCCAGCCAGGACTGGTGAAAATGCTCAAGTCAATTGGAACCATTTGATACATTTTATGGCTTACAAAAAGTAGCTCCTTCGACTGGTTCGATAATGAGCAAATGAGATATTTTATATATTGCTGCCATTTCACAAGCAATTTTAAACTTTACTGGCCCCTTCTGGAGAGGTGCACCATGTGTCCCATGCTGTGCATGGTACTGGTGACCCCCCCGCCCCTTTTAAAAAAATTAACATTTACACTTAAATGAGAAACACACACATTTTCAATGTTGCAGTAACACTGTTTGCTACTGGATGGCAGCAGAGTTCTGCAGCAAAGAAAAACTTGTTTCAGAGTGATTAGAGCACTACATTGGCAGATATCCATCTGCAGATTTAGCTTGTTCCATTTTAATCTCCTTTTTTATAACTATCTTTATGTTTATATAAAGATATTAAGTCTAACAATGTGTGCCAGTAAAGGGAGCACTAAAAATTCTACTAAAGATTTAGTAAACCACCGTCTCAAAAGCTGGTACAAGTTCAGATCGATGATTATGTAAACTTTACTTTTGCACTGGTGTAAAAGTAAGTGCAAGTAAGTAATCGACATACTAAAATGCATCAATATAATAAATTACAAATGAATCCCTTTTGTTGTGCGGCGTTCTTAATATAGTCTTTACTTGGATACATCTCAATTTAATTGAATTAAATATATCTCATGTTAGAGCAGAAAAAAAGAGCAGGTAGAGGATGGAGTAATCACAGAAGACAGCTATCCAATTGTAACATTTATTTGCATAAATATGTATATACAGCCTCAACATTTTTAATCTCCATTACTTTTATAGACATATTGGACAGCATAACATTCACACTTACACAATACTAAGTTTCAAGAGAGGTAAAAAAAGATGTTTGAATCAGGAGGGAAAAGTCTTTATTCTTCTGTTGTCTGAGAGTTGGAGAGCTTCAATTTGTCAGCATAAAATTTAAATGATTCCTGATAAAAGAAAAAGAAATTGTTAAGAATATGAAAAGTTTCTCAAGTTTTTTATGAAAAGGTGAAAAATCTTATTCTAATAGTTTAACTGACCAAGCCAGTCAGTCTAATTAATGTATTATAAATAATAAATGTATAAAGTATAATGTTCACCAAAGTTGAAAACAAAATACAGCCTATATTTTTATTATGGAGCTCGTTTAAAATTAACAAAATCAGTTCAGCCAATATCCTGGTTGGACATATAAATCAATGTAATTAGACAATTTACTGGTTGTAATCGAGAGTCCAGAAAATCTCAGGAGTTGCCTAAATTAGAACGTAAAGATTCTTATACAAGTTTTCAAACATTTAAACTTTTGAGAACAGTGGCCATTTTGACTTTCACCTCTTCATCCTCTCTTATACATTTTCAGCTCACTTAACTATCCTGACATTGCGTGAATTATGCAGCAGCCGCTCTCTTCCTCCACCCCTCTTTCTCTATCTCTATACTTCTGCAGTAGGTGAGTGCAGTGAAGGTAAGAGGGGGCTTCTTCATACACCTGCCCTGAGGGGACACTGCTACATCAAAGTGCGGAGGTTTAGAGGGCCAAAAATAAGACAACAGAGACTTACAAAATATGCCATGTAAAGCTGTGCTCAAAGACTATTGTAGGTAGTGTTTGAATACAGCTGGTAAATGAATGAAGTTACAATTACAATACTGACACATGGTCGGTCCAGTAAGACTTTGGATTCCCATAATTTTCTCCAACAAACCATCCAGACTTGTTAATGTTTGGTTTGAACAGTGCTCCATCCTAAATGTTGTTGTTTAAAATAAAGAAATCACCAAAATATTTCAGACACTCACAGGGGGTTCAGTGAAGGGCGCAGTTTCTCCAGCTTGGCGGTACAGAGACGCCAACCGTTTGAGTGACAGCTCGTCCACCTCCACTCCCTCCTTCTGCATCTGCTCATGCAGAGCTTTAGCGGACTCCAAGTCCTTATCCATAACTGCAGAGACAGAAAGTACAATGTCAATCTTTACTGGTCTACTGTCAACTCTGCCAAAGGACAACGGAATAAAAAGGAGGAAAGGCAAGACACATTTACTGAAATAAATTATAGTGATTTGTTGTGTGACTCTAGCAGAACTAAAATGTCTTAGGCGTTTTGGTGTAATTCTATGAGGCCCCAGTAAACCATGATGTATAAGGCTACTGTTCACTTTTTTGATGAAAATCCATGGTGAGTCTGTACCAGAGTGAACCTTCTGATTTTATAGCTGATGGACCTGAGTCATGAAGAAAAGAGCAAATTGGGCTGTCTAATATTATAATATGATTTAGCTTAACTGCTCAACTTTTTAAGCAACAATTCTACAACCCATTTTAATTACATTGTTCAGTGGGTGGAGATATGATATCTGTTAAGCACAAGTAAAAAACAAAAAAGATGAAAATAAAGTGAACACTTTGAAACGAACAAGCTAAGTGAAGGTTGGTGTTGCGATTAGTACGCTAGGCTAACCATAGCGGCTAACTCATTAGACAACATGTGTTCTGGTAACCCGTGAACATCCTACAACGAGCCTACACACTCAGACACCAGCCGTGACCTAATGCATTGTTAATGCATACACTAATGCTACACAGAGCACCCAGCCATTCACTGCACAAAAGCCAACAGCTTGAGTAATATACTTATTGTAATAACATAGTCTGTACCGTGGCATTTCATCAGGTAGGGATAGAGCACTTTCTTCTCCGTGAAGTTTGGAATCAGGTTCATCAGTGTTTTAATCTTTCCCACCTATGGACAAAAAACATTTACGAAAACTCAAACTAAAAACTGAGAAAAATTCCTGCTCATAAATAAATGCATGCACATTGTCAATAAAAACTAAAATTGGCTCTTGTAGTGTGATGATGTTACCTGTCCAGGAGTTTGAGCCTTTTTGGAAAGATAAGATACCAGGATGTCCTTCTGTTCAGCCACTGCATTACAGCGCTATAAGAGAAAAATCAATGATAAACTTAAATCTTTATGCAATATGACTTTAATGTATCCCATGCTTCCTCAATGCATTTATATACTGAGGAATCGCCACTTTGGGTGATGGGAGGACTGCACAGGAAGCATGTCATCTGCACTTACCATTATATGTAATTATATAGTCATTGAATAGCCAGTTGTATATGGCCAACAAATATATAAACGTAGGGGTGGGTGATATTGACAAATGTATTTATAAAATTTTATCCCAATGACTATTTTCTATTATCGACATATACTAATATTTTGCATATCTCCAAAACAATAATGTCCATGTTTTGAAGCATCGCCTTTTTCCAAATGAAACAGTGATACCTGTGATGTTAAAACTATAAAACAGTGCTGCAATGATTTTACTTGCTAAATTCAAGCTAAAATGTGTTTGTGGAATATTATGGACTACATTGTTTTACATTTAAGGTAAAGGCCCAGAGTGGTTAAAATCATTACGGTGCACTTCAGTCTGACATGTGGGGTAATTATTTAGCAACTGAAAAAGGAGTAATGGCTCCAGTAATGAGAAAAAACTTTAAGTGCACATCCGCTACACGGATCTTGCAATTTCCAGTGCTCCTCTCTTTCATTTACACCATCTATCTCCCATCTTCCTGTCTCGTAACCATCGAGAGTCTTCATATTCATATCCCCAGGCTCAATGCAAAGTCACTGAGCTGTAATCTATGAACTGTGTTAAATAAATTAAGTAGCACGAAGCCAATTTGAGCCCACCAGACTCATGGGTGAATGTGGCCAAGGGTTTTTGTACTTTCATTTCAAGATGAGAGGACATAAAGGCATGAATCCAAAGAGGCTGGATAAATAAGTTAGCAACTGCAGAACAGAAAGATTGTTAGCTTTTACTGCCGAGAAATACACCGGGGAGCTGTAATGTTCTGACACTACTGCAAAAAAGTTCTCAGCTTCACTTAAGTTTAATACACTGAAATATAGGTCAAAGCGAACCCAGTATAACTTATCAGTATAAATATGTTTGAAAGAAAGTCTATGAAACAGGTGTATCACGGTACAAGGTGTGTGTACTATTCAGACCAGGGCCAAACTAAAGGATCTAGTTCAGGAGTAAATGTAAATTACAATGAGTCTTAAATGTCTTAATAACAAAGAACTGATGGAAACTAATCATTTATTCTTCTAATAAGTGTCTCTCTTAAGCTTTAAAATATTATGACATTTTTCTGATTTATGTTATAATGTTGTTTCCTCATCAAAAACATGCCTGCAGTTTTGTTTCATTCACATGTTTAACACAAATCTACCGCTTCAAGACATCACAAGGTTGAACAGAGCATTTGGACAGACTAATAATAAAAAGGATTACTCAAACATGTGTGAATGAAACAAAACACAACTCCGGGTATGTTTTTCATAAGAGAACAACATTATAACATGGCTTAAAGCTCACAAGAGTCAATTTTGTGTAATATAGGAGTTTTAAGAAACCCACCCATATCTTATTGCCCTTAACCTATAGATTAGACATACTCACAGCCAGCATGAACTTAGCGTCCTCCACTTTGCCTGTATCCAGGAGCAGAAGAAAAATGTCTGCAGCTGGTCTGTAGCACGCAAAGTGATTGGCAAGTCGCTCGGCCGTGGCACACACTGCATTGAGTGAATTCAGGTTAAAAGGTTAAACATGGTTTTATAAAGTCGTGGTATAAAGTGGATATTTAAGGAGGAAATCGTGTCTCTTACATTTGTCAAAAGCTTTGTCATTGCCATTTTCTAAGACTTTTCTGAAGACGAAAGACATACTCTGTGAAGAATTTTCGTCACTGTTGTAAACTGACTCCATAATTTCCACAGCCGATTCCAGGTCACAGCTGAAAAAAAAACAAAAACATGTTGATAGATGTAGTTTTTAAGTTTCTAAGTTTAATTCATATACAGTCTATATCAGTTACTTCATGAAAGACAAGATATTTCAGAAAAGTCAGAAATGACCACTTTGAATGTTTAAACTGCAATAAATAGATTTTTGTTAATTCTCTATCAAGATAGATTATCAAGACTTGAGCTTTAAGCCATGTTATAATGCTGTTACCTACTAAAAAACATAACTGGAGTTGTTTCGTTTCATTCACACATGTTTGAGTAACTCCGCATTATTAGTCTGTCTACAGCTCCAAAACTCAAAATGCCTAAATATGCAGCATTTGTGTATTAAACATGTGTGAATGAAACAGAATGCAACTCCTGACATGTTGGTATGTACTATGGGCCCTTTAATATAGCAATTATGAGATAAGTAACCAGTTATAGTGCTGACTTTTTTTTTGTGCATCTAAAATTACCACATGAAAGCTCACAAAATCCCTACAAAAATCTGAAACACCACAATCAGGCCACCCGGTCTAGAAACACTTGTTTTGGTCTTCGCTCCTTTGCCGTCACCAGCTATAATAAATATTTAACATGTAGCGGCGCGTGCATCTGTGTATATGTATATGCGTGTGCGTTGGGTGGTGGGGCAACATATCTGCGCTGATTGTTGAGAATGGGACCGTCTGAATAATTTAACTAGCCCCCTCTAAATGCGGCGCTCGGTTTTGCAGTCCGGCGTGGTTCTTTCCGTCCGGGCTCTTAAACAGTCAGTCCGACTCAGGCACACAGGGGACGCACGTGTCAGAGCAGCTCAGGGCGCAGCTTCCAGAGGTCAAGGTTCAAGCTGACAGGCCCGCACTACAACGGCCAATCAGGCGTGAGGCTGTTGTGCTGTTCTTCACTTCCTATGTCCCTCTGAGTTTGTATGACGACAAAAGGGCTAATGCGGCGATAAAAGTTTGATGCGCAATGTGAATATTTGTTCTCTGGTGTGGGAGAAACGACAAAGAAGCGATGGAGGATGGGTGTGTTTTATTACATTAAGAGCTTTTATGAATAATCCTGCTCTGCCTTTGTTTTTCCATTTGAACATGACATGCTTTCAGTGGTTTTACTTAAAGGTCCTTCCTATATTACGCAAAATTTACTCTTGTGAGCTTTAAGCCATGTTAGAAAATTTTTCTCCATCAAAAACATACCTGGACTTGTGTTCTTTCATTCACACATGTTTGATTAATCCTGAATTGTTGCACTGTTCACAACTCCAAAGCTCGAAATGCTCTGTTCCACCTTGTGATGTCATGAAATTGTAGTTTTTAAGTTAAGTGCTACCTTTTACCTTTTGTTTAGTAGAGAATAGAAATTCCAGAGTTGAAATTATCCAAATGATTCTCACTTAAGATATATTGATTTTAAAAACATAGTGGAACACTTCCTGTATGACCACATGACATCACAAGGTGGAACAAAGTGTTTTCCATTTGAGAGAAAAACTCAGCCTAAATATGCAGGGTTTGTGTGTTAAACTTGTGTGTATGACACAAAATACAATGAGGAAACAACATTATAACAAAATCAGAAAACAGCAGAATGTGGCCCCTTTAAAGACGATGCAAGCCTTGTACTTTACATGTGATACTGAACACTTGGATGGAAATATTTATCAAAATACTTAAGACACATTTAATATTATGTACTTACTTCTTGATATGTGCCAGTACAGTATTGTTGATAAAGACCATGCTTGACAGGTTGAGGGGTGTATTGAGCCCCTTCATGATGGTTTCCACCTCTCGGATACTGTCAGTGTCGCCATGACTGCCCAAGGCCTGCACCAGTCTAGTGACAGCAAGTTTAGAGGGCACATGGTTGGCCTGGAGCATAGACTTAAGACTCAGAAGAGCATCTGGAAATGAGCGCAAAAAGTTCAGATCAGTCTGTTTTTGAATACACTACAAACTAGTCTGTTTCTACCTACCTTCCAATTGTCCTTTCTTGCTTTGAGTAATAATGAGCAGGTTTGTTGCAATGTCACTTAGTTTAAAAGAATGGATGTGAGATGTTGCACTAAAGAGACAAAAGAGAAAGACCAAGTTACTGCGTTATTAAAAAGGCAAACATCGAGTCTCTGTATACTAGTAGTATCCAAGTTTACTCTAACTACTATGTACTATTTAAGAGACATTTCAGAACTGGAAGATAGGTGAGAAGTCTTCAATTTAAATCTTGTCCAGATTATTATAAATGAAGCCTGTGTTACAATAGAACAAAATGGGGCGACTGAGGGATTACACTGATATATGTTTGTGTATGTAAAAATTTAACCAGTAAATAAGTAAAAAATGAAAATAAGTATACATTCCAGTGCTGTGACAGTGAACAGCTTTTTCAACATTGAAAAATACCCATACTATTAATAAACATGTTGTGTTGAGATAAAATAATTCTTATCACTAAACATGAATGTAGGGGGTTTTCCATGTGCAGCTTTCCTGAACACACACACACACACACACACACACACATACATTTGGCAGTCTCTCTCTGCTCCTTCCAGGCCGCTTTAGTCATTGAATCCAGCGTCCTCTTTCTCATCTGCATCACCACTCATCTACAATCTGGTAATCTCACCATAAGCGCCCCGCTGCTCAATTCTGTTCAGATTACCCCAAAAACAAACACACACCCTCCTGCTTGCTCCAAGAATTAAGTCCTATAGCGTCTTCATTAACCTCATATGTGATTACATCTAGCCCTCCTCCCCTCACTCAACACTGGTCTCATTTAGATCGTTTTATCTTCGTTCCTGTTCATTTCCATCTTTGGCCGCCTCTGCGCTCAGCTCATTCCACTTCTCATTTAGCCTGCAGATAAACTAAGCTTTTATCCAGGCAGGGAAGCCACGCACTAATTCAAACAGAGACAGCAGATGGGTTATCACTCATATTGCATTGCTCTTGTTAGAACATTGCACCAAAATTGATACAATTATTTCTCACACTGTGAGGAAATGAACTGTGTAAATAGACTGATTGTGTAAAAGATGGTTTTACACATCTCCCTATTTTTCCATAAATTATTAAAAAGGCATCTTTTTTTCTGGAACAATATCCTTTGCGTTTTTGTAGCACACCAGTCTGTTATAAAGTCAGGGACAAAAGAGATAAAGGAAATGACAAGAGATTACCTAAAAAGACAAACAGAAGATCACTGCTCTAAGCTCACATTTTAATACCAGTCTTTTCATCCACTGTCCCCAGGCCTTAGCCTCGATATCGTCCGCGCATCAGAAACACACGATACATTACTAATTGGAAGGAGACTGACGTTTTTGCACAAACTCACTCTCTTGTCTGAAAAACTAAATTAAACTGCACATGTGATTTTGTGCTTGTGTGTCTTGAGGCTTAGTGGGAGTCGTTGTTCAGGTCTAGCAGGGCTGTGTTAGCACACAATCAAGCGATAATCCTGCTGTTTTATGAAGAGTGTCTCACCCTGAGGTGACAAGGGGCTGCACATTGGACAGGAACAGTAATCCAAACTACACACTGCATTTGTCCTCTATTTCCACAGCCAGGATGACATCTACAGTAATCACCATTATTTAACAGAAGAAATCGATTGAAATCCAAATTCTAAATCGATGTAATGTAGTTGTGTATTGACTGAAAACTGAATTGGGGAATAAATCAGAGGGAAGATTGAAGCTGTAAGTTGCCGAGACATACATACATGTCTTTCACTACCATGGCATCCTCTATTGCTCCTTCGGCCAGCAGTGCGCGGATCAATTGATCATAGGAGGCAGGGCCAAGAGATACCCCCTTTTTGTTCATGTCTTTGACCATCCCGTAGGCCTCTAGAGAAAGGCACATAAAAGCACAGATTATAGATATAGAGATATTGGTTTTAACTGAGTCTAAACATTATATACACAGTAACTTTAAACCACAGTAACTGTGAAATGAAGTTAGGATGAACAGGAGTTTACCTTTGGTTTTGCCTTTTTTGCACAGAGAGAGCAGTTTCACATTATAGTCTGTGTCGTTATCAGTTGAATTAGAGACTGGGGCTGTCGTCTTTGTCTTCTGTGCAGTGGCAGAGTGTTCATACCAAGTCTTCAAAACAACAGTTGGCAAAATCAAAATGTGAAGTTTCTATCACAATATAACATTGTTCTGTTTACCACCACAAACATTTCTACAGACAAGTTGCTGGAATGAGTCTGTGTGTTTGTGTATGACAATGCTTATTGCCGGGTGTGCAGGCCCTGGCCTCCGAATGCCCGCTCACCCATACAATGCTGAGGGGAGGGGTTAAGTTGTATTGGCTGGGGGCAAATTAGGTCTGGCACCCCAGGGGCAGAAGGAAAGTGTATGTGCTATGTGTGTTTTTGAGAGCATGTGTGCTGAGAGAAGTAGTGTCAACTCAAGGAGTCCCAAGGGTCACAAAGTTCAGCACTCGAGGCTACAGCAATCACTTCTCGTCTCATCATGCTCCAGGCTACAGGATGCTCACGAGTGGAAAGATGAAGAAAATGAGAAGCAAAAAGCTATACAGAAAATGTCATCATTCATCCCATTATGTTCCTCCTCTAAATACAGAGAAACACCAGAGCATGCGATGTCCAGATGCAGCCATATGGTGGCATTTAGCTGCTGGCTAAATTGGTCTAGTATTACAGATTTACACAGATCAGGCATTAATATCTTTCATCAGCGAGTTGCTCTGATTGACTGCTCTTCAGATCCAGTTTTCTTCTTGTAATGAACAGAAGCTTAAATGCAGAGGCGGGTGGGCCATGTGGTGATCAGGGTTTCAAAGACTTTTCTGGTGTTACATCATTTGGAATAAATTAATTAAGCATTAGTACGTTTTTTAGAATCATATTGCTTGAATGACTTAAACATTTTGTTAGCCAAAAATAAATAAATAATTTGTCTGTATTGTTTTGACAGTTCTGTTTCTGTACAGTTCACTTGCACATTACTGCTGCATGACTGTAGGTCTGACCTCAGGCGTATTTAAACACTTCTCCTAAGCTCTTGGGAGCCTTCTCTGCTTTGCTTTATTATCCCCCACCCCAAAACCCTGTGGCAATTATTTCTCTGAATAATGGAACAAACTAATGAGTACTTAAAAGATGAGGCTTATTTAGAAGCCATAGTCTACCTGGGGCACCTCAAAGGGAACCTCCTGGCCATTATTCTTCAAGATATTTGCCAACAGATGCAAGGTCCTCTCTCTTGGAATCACATTCTCCTCCTGCATCTTTGTCCACATGGCTTCTGCTTTCTGCCAATCATTTGTGTCCTCTGAAAAAAGAGCAGCATATGAGAAAATGAGCATTGTAATGTGACCAAACCTGTGTTGTGCATCACAGATAAATGTTGGTCATGGCCCTCTCAGCCTGCAGCAGTGGCTAATTTCAGATAAAGCCCTCCATGCTGCGAGAGGCCAATCAAAGTACTAATCTGATCAACTGACCGACCCTCAACTATGGTGTAATTTGGGAGACACACAGTCCATTGTTGTGTGTATGTGTTACAGCATGTGTGTGTTCAGAGAAGAAGAGGGTAATGGATGGTCAATCAGCTTTAACACTCCAATCACAACTGGTATCTGCTCTGCTCTCAACCGCAGCAATCACACCATGCCTTCTGCCCACTTCTCACTAGCCCCATGTTAACCTTGCAGGTCCATCCGACATGGATCAAGATGGCATCCTTCCAGTCATAAATGCTACACAAGAAACAGACAATAAAAACATAAATACATTTTTAAAAAAAAACTTACTGCAGAGTCGGAGGACATAATGGTACATTTCATCTCTGTCGCACTCAAACAGCTTTGATGTAATGTCTACCATCTGTTCCAAGGCCTCCATCTATGCACCCATAAACCAATGTTATGATTTGTTCCCATTGTTTTCATTATTAACATGAATATTACTTTTAAGGGTTACCTGGTTTGAAGAAATGCATTTCTCTGCATACCACTGTAGGCGTCCAGGTCTCGCCCTCAGCCCTGGAGTCTTCATGAAAACAGAACGCAGACGGACACATGAGATTAATAAATAACTACAAGAGCCAAGCTGCTTGAGCTGTGCAGACACGAGCTGTCATATATACAGGGATGACATGGCATCAATATGAATGACACAAGTCAAAAGGTCACATTAAAGATTCACACACAAATTCATTGCTGGGACAGCATAATGATACATTACATTAGCCATTCTCAAGACAAAGGATTTTTTGTTTAATTTTTTGAAAGAACCTTAACCTTTGTTATATTTGTGGACAGGATAGAATCGACAGAAAACACCAGTACAGAAAGTATGTCCTGCAGCAAATAGAAAGTCGTACTGCACAAGTACAAAAATTTTATTTGAGTAAAATATTTGATTCAATTGCTTTATCCATAAAAGAAGTTTGAATAAAACAACTACAAAAATCTATCTATCTATTAAATGTAATAACAGCGTTTCTATACATGGCTCTTTTGTACCGTCAGTGACAACAACTTGTGTTTGGAAGAATTTTAGGACACAGACGCTTGTTCACCGAGTGTGGGCTTACCCGTCCAATAAGGGCTGACATAGATTGATATGTGGGCTTTTGTATCTGAGATTTAGTTTGATACGCAGACTGACTAGATGATTATTATCATGGACAACAGTGATCAGAATTTCATCTGTCTCATGGGGCTTTGATACAATCTGAATAAGACCAGGATTGAGAAATCTCCCATCCCTTCCTTTCTAGTAATCTGTCTGAGGGAAAAAAAAAAAAGAGTGATCTGCTGGGAGGTTAATCTGAGCGAGGATCAGCGGTGGTCAATCCGCGCTGGCCTCTTTGAGGAAGCTCATCGTGCCTTGAGGAGGGAAAGTTCAGTAAAGACCTGCCTCATCTTTTTCTTTGACTAACCCTTGGCTGCCGTCATTATACATCTCCAATCCTCACTTCCTTCAATCCTCCACCTTCTCTTCAAATCTCAGCTGCTGCTCTCCTCTCCATCCATCCATCCCTCTATCTGTCCCTGGCAGAGGAATTATGTTATTACCTAACCAGCCAAAAGGGACAAATTAAAATGTGTTGCAGCCCTCACTCTCTCTCGCTCTGTCTAATCTTCTTATGGGGACTGAGGCCTAGATTCTATTTACTTGCTAAAGTCTTGCTGGCTCCTGTGGGGACTGTTTTGAAAATACACACCATGTTCCATCTTTGCGATTCAGTGCAAATCTCCCTAATCTGGAAAAAAACAAATCCGGCAGATACAAGATGTGCCATGAATCAGAAACTATAACAAAGCAGTCCATGTTAGAATTTCCATCCATACAATACTACATAACAATTTACTTTTAATTTAATAAAAAAGTAGAGGCTGCATATTGTTCCACTTAACGCTCTTCATCTCAATTCCTGATTCCACTAATCACTGAGCCACTTTAGTGCACACACACTTTCAGACAGATACAGCAAAACCCTCTCTGCAACAGTAAAAAACACATAATGACTCGCCACTCTATAGCAATACTACCTAACCTTGACCATCACAACACAGACTATAATAGGCCCGGCCACCTGACAATCCTCTACCTAACCATGACCATTCAGTGCAAAATTGGCCACCTTTCTCTATCATTACATTTAATTAGCTGTGATTAATCAGCTGCCAATTATACCAAACACAGCCTAAAGCGAGACTCCACTCTGGACTACCACTTGACACCTTTGGAGGAAAAGTATGCGTGACAGCGTGAATATTAGAGTGATAGAGAGGACTATCAAAACTGCTAGAACACTATATTCTGAATCATGTACTACAGGAAGTGCAGGACTTAACTTTAATACAGCTTTTAATTTGAGACTCTTCAAAATGTCTTAATTGTGCAAGTATAAATATAATGGACAATCAGAAAAGACTACAAACCAATAGACAAGAAAAAACATCCAGAACTGGTGTTTTTTGGTTTCAATTTAGACAAGATATTGGAGGTATGTGGCCAAACCAACCTAAAATCATTACTAGTTTACCAACTGTAATATCCCTAGCTAAGTAAAAAAAAACTCATGAAGTAACAAAAAAATCTATTTACTCCACTTGTGTGCCAAAATGATAAACTGAAACAATAAAAAACCCTCACGTTTGTATTGTAGAGCAGATGGTGTTGCATGCTTTCGGTAGCTACTCTGACTATATATAAAACCATACTTTCAAATTGACAGAAATATCCAATATACATGGCTAATGGGTAATTCTTTTGACATTTCAAGTTTACAATCAATTTATAGTGTAGATCTGTCAAGGTAAGTGGTTCCATGTATAGTCAATGTCACAATTTAAGACGATTAAGAGGAGTAGAATCCATGAGTGGGGGAATACAATAACATGCTGTTGAGATCTCAGAGGGTTTGACAAATCCTTCTTTTCCAGTGTATATCAGGACATGATCAGCAGAAAGGGACAGTGAGGGAGATGTTTTGATCTCCGTTTTGTTCTTATCCTAATCTGACACAAAGGCCTTGTTTTGACTGCTCCAATGTCAGGCTCAATCTCACAAAACCTGTGGTCATTTCATTTTATGGTGGATAGAACAACAACTTTGCTCTTTTCCCTTCAAACATAATCTGCACTTAAGGACTTGATTTAACCCAGAGACAAATATCGAGATCAGATGATGTAAAATAACAGTACTGGTTGCCTAGTAGTTTGGGATAACACATTAAGTTTTCGTTTAATATTCAAAATTATTTGAAGACTGAAACAATCAACAACTAAAGTAGAATAACTAGTGGGCATACCTCAATGATTTTACGAGCCTCACGGTAGCGCCCAGTCTGCAAAAAGGCAAAGAAAAGATCGTACAACATGGTCATCTCTCCACGCTCCTGGCTCACAAAGTCCATGGCTAAAGCAGAGAGAAAAAGAAATCAGCAGGGTTAACATAGTTTTTGGCACGAAACACCAAAAACAAAAAGTTGTACAAAGTCTTCTCTGAAACAGGCTCCCAAGCATAAGCATAAGCTCCTTTGGTCAACATTTGAAAGCTGATTTCACAGTTGTTGAAATTATCTCCATTCTGCAGCTTTGAAACAGGTGTGATAAAAAAAATTGAATATTAATTTAATAAATAAAGTTAAAAAACACAACTTTTGCCGTTTATGTAAACTTTCCACATTGTGCCCAAAAGCACATCCAATTTAAAATACACCTTTAATCATGATTTCAATGTTTACTGATTGAAACTGCTTTGCTCTTTAAGCATTTGCAAAAATCTACATACCAAATTAAAGGGTAAATCAATAATCTTTAAAAGGGTTGCAGATGACACAGAGGAGACCAGGTAAAGAGGTGTTCACTCAGAGATTAAATCAACCCTTTGACTCTTAATATGTACCTGCCCAGAACACCCCTAACCCTTTTACTCAATAGCTTTTAAGTGAAATGAAATGAAAAAAGTAGTAACAGTAGAAGTACTAAACTCTATTCTTACACTTTCTAAAGTTTAAGTTCATCCATTTTTGAAAGAGGTCAATTAATCTTAAACCCCAAAGCAGATTTAAATTACCTGCTATATGTGTTTAGGCCTCACTGAGCATGCAGTTACCTTTCTGTAGCTGTTCTGTGTCTCCCTTCTCCACCAGGCCCACGATGATGTCATGGATTCGAGGGAGATGTTTGTAGCGTTGCTGACACTCTATGGCTGCGTCCAAAGCACCGGAGAGGTCATTACTATTAGACACACAGAGAAAAGAAGTCAGACGCCCGCTCCATCCAATCAGCCGCGTACAGGAGCGTGTCAAGAGGAGAGCATCGTGGGGGCGTTAACCTTACGACCTTGCATTCAAGTACCGTGACCGGTCGCAACAATACAGGCCTTTGAACTGATGACAGCACAAGTGCAGCTGATGAAGCCTTTTGCCCCCAATACATCATAGTCTCCCACAAGCACACAGTTCCACACACCTGTCTATGCCAATCTGGACAGGCTTTTACAGGGGAACGTGAGCACGGACAAAGGAGCAGACATGATCTTTAGCCTTTCAGAAACCTTTAAACATGTTTTTTTTTCTATTTCCTGACCTTCTTATTGTCATCTCTCTCAATGTAAATTTCTCTATGAACTTACAGTTTGTCTTGTATAACTGTGTTTTTGATGGCATGCTGTCAGCTCATACTCCACTGCCACGACCTTGGCCCTCAACTGAGTAATTTAGCAGAATATGAATAGTACATTTGCAAAAACACATAAGTGCCATTTGAAAAAGTCATAAGAGGCTTGTAGTTTACTCTTAATATAGTAATAAAATAATAAAGACAAATGTATTTTATTGCTATCAAAGTATTATTCCACTTTCTTGATAAAACCCACTATACATTATTGCCATTGATAATGTCTCTAAAATCTAATTATTTAAAAGAGATATCTGTTGTTGCTATTGAACTCTTCGTATGGCTAGGCCTGTCACAATAACAATGTGGCCATACTGGCTTGTCAAAACTTGATCTCATCAGATCTCAGAAGCTCAACACGGCCGGGCCTGATTAGTACTTTGGAGGGAGACCGCTGGGAAAATCAGGTGCCTCAGGAGGGTGCCAGTCGCAAAAAACTGTTCTTGTGTCCTTAGGCATGGCACTTGACACACATTCCCTAGTATGAAAATGGTTTGTGCGTACGTGATGGTGGTGGCTGGAGGGGCTGATGGCGCAGATTGGCAGCCTTGACAGGCACTTCCGTCAGTCTGCCCAGGGCAGCTGTGGCTACAGTAATAGTTTACGACCACTGAGTGTAGAGCGAATGAACAATGACCTGTAAAGCATCTTTGAGTGTCCAGAAATGTGCTATATAAAACTGATGCATTATTATTATTACTAACAAATATTGAAGTTCGATATATTGCTGAAGCAAATGTAGACAATAAATGATAAGATTGCAACCAATTTATGCCACTGACACAAAAACCCAAGAGACTATTCCAAATCTACAATATTGTAAAAATTATGAGCTGCAATTAATAAACAGCAGAATGAAACCTTTCACACCTTAAACCTAATCATATAGCCAAAAAAATAACCACTAATTTCCCAGTGGTGTAAAAAAAAAAGATACAATGATAAATATTAACCACAAAAAATTATTATTTCAGCTTTCATATATTGAACAATAAGTCAATATAGTAATTATCGTGACAGGTTTACAAATGGAAACAGCATTAGCAAACTCTCTTACCACCTTTTGAGCAGTCTCATGTCATCTCCCCCCTACCCCCAACACCAAAACTGTCCATTCAACTCATGTGGACCAACCAAACGTGTGCACTGGCAGTGATATGGAGGTAACCGAAATATACGCACTCAAAGACATGGAAGGAATAAGGCCAGAAGTGGAGCAAAAAGGGGGGAGTGAGCGAGAGACCACTCAATCCCTTCTATTGTGACAGCGTTGCCATCAATCTGTTGATTGGGTACTTAACATGTCAATCACACAGAGGTCAAAGCAGATAGGGCAGCAGGAGGGAAGGTAGTGGGCAGAGACAGAGAGTGAGACAGAGGCAGACGTGGAGCCCATGGGTATAATTTCTGAAGCGTTTTCTCCTTTTATCAATTAGACACTCGCACATAGGGAAAACATGCCCAAAAAGACCAACAGCTTGTAAAAAAACTAAAACGAATAGACTAGAGTGACCTTGACTTTGGCTGAAGTGGGAAGCTGAGAAAGAGGAGTGTAACGGAGGAGAAAAGATTAGGGTCGTGAGGTAAAGCGGCATACTAATTGAAATGAAGAGGGACAATATTATTCAGAAGCACCAGTCGAGAGCATGTTCAACTGCACAACAGTCTGATTGAATACCATCCAAGAGGAAGTATGAAGAGATTACACATGAGAGAAAAAGTGTGAATAATTATTAGACTATGGATTTGCTGGCCAAAATAAAAATCACAAGCTGTTTGTAATTTCCTGTTGTAGAGGCTGTCCGTGACTGAACTTAAAATAATCAAGCTTCATGGTAATTGGGACATATTTCTTGAATAAATGTTCCTGAGCCTGTCCACCTTTACATGATCATCCACACCTACTTATAATCCCTGCTTTCTAATGAGACATCTTCAAAAACCATCCTGTCACTCTTGGCTAAAAAAATGTCCTGGCGTTGCAATTATACCCTCCCCTCTCGCCATCTTTCTTACTTGGAGATCCACCCCAAAAAAGCTAAGCATGTTGAAAGATGGATAATTTCCCCTAGGTACAATTTAACTGTCACTTTGCATTGCCATTTACTGCACGACGCACAGCCCTGTTAATGTCCCTAACTTTGCATGTCAGCCACTTTCCAGCCAATTAAGCCCTGAAAAAATGAGTGCTTTCCTGAAGAAACCTGAAGGATTAGACAAGGAAGCTCATTTAGCCACGTCTCGCTCCCCCTCTGTCCCCGTCTTTGTTCTGAGCACATCGCCAAGCCTGTTATCAAGCCACTGTCCTCCGTAAAGGGGGAGGACCAAATCAGTGTTTTGAAACGCAAATGAGACTGATCATGACACCACTAGCCCGCTTTTATATATGCTGGAAAATAGCAAGTGCTAATATTCTTGCCAATAAGAATACAGGTGAACAAGCACAAGATGAACAAGCCAAATCCATTTTAGAGTGAGGAACCATCTTGCCACCATCCACCTGTGGACTTAATTTATCCACAACACTTTCAATGATAAGTGTCTCACTTGAATTTTTAATTTGCCCCTTAGTGAACATACACTTTAAAACAAGAGGAGTGAGTGGGAGAGCCACTCATCTCTTGTCAGTTCGGCACTATTTTATTTGCAATCATTCCTTTGTCTTATCATCTTCTGCCAGCTCTTCATTTCAGTGGTCTCATTAGCATTTTGTGTCACTAATCACCACAAGTATGAGGCAAGACGAGCTAGCCAGCTAGCACACACAATGCTGATCGGCCGCTATGAGCGCTAACGGGGCGGTGCGTATGATGGGCTGTCAAGGGCTAATCTGTGGTAGAAGTGTTCATTAAGTCATTAGCGCTGACGCAGCGATGAGCCGGGAGCAGGCGGAGTGATGCCTGCTTTGTCCTCTTTTATTGCTCTTCTGTCCCTCCTCCCCACTGTCTGTCTGTCTGTCCGCTGAGTGACGGAATGAAGGCCCAATGCAACAAGAATGAGCAAGAAGGCATCTCAAGTCAGTGGCACAACAGTTAAGAATTAACAGACCACAGGTATGCACTAGCAAACCCTCACACAAATAGGTGAATGTATTTTAAAAAAAAAAACAAACAAAAAAAACAAGTCTCCTCTAAAAAATAGAAACAATGTGTTGACTGGTGAGTACTTTCAGTTTTCCATTTCCATGCATGTGACAAACTTTAGCATGGAATGTTGGTCATGTATTTTTTTTTTACTTAGATTGTGTACAAATTAATCCAAGACATTTCTTATAACCATTTAACTAGTATCTTAAAAAACAGTGCAAAACTTGACTGTAAAGGAAAGCAGGTGATACAATCACAGAATGGGGTTTGCCATTTTGCTAAATGCTGATAACCACAGTATCACTTGGAGGGTGTACAACTGGCGCTGGATGTGTGATCATGGCTGTGAAAAGCCACATGCGTGCGTGTGTATGTGTGTTTTGGCTGCTGTTGATGACCCAGGAGTAAATTAGCCGGCTAATCTCACAGAAGCAGTGATTACTGAGTGAACCTAGAAACTCTCTAATTTGTGCCTGAGTTTTAACAAAACAAACAGCCACTGGGGAAACCCAGCACATGTTGATATATAAACAAAGCTTTGCATGTTCCAGTGTGCAGGTGAAGGAAGTGTACATAAGAGCCCCTAACACTGCACTGTGCTGCTGTGCTGAATCCTGCAATTAGTGGTCTGTACATAATGAACATGCTAATGAGCAGATCCAAGTAAAGCTGCACAACAGATACAGTTGAAAGGTGAACAGCAATGTTGACCTCACAGGAGGTGTTTGCTAACAGCGTATGTATATGATGTGCATTATGATAGAAGGCACTTCTCAGAGACGCAGGGGGCGTGTCAGCAGAGCAGGGGCTCATGGGATAGATGGCAGCTGGTGAACTGTCAAACAAACAAAGCCGGGCTGGTGAAGAGTGGGACCGTACACTGACACACAACATGAGCAACATCCACATGCTCTGTATCCAAATCACTGACCCAGAATACAGCAGCAGCCATGATCAGAGTGAGGCACGAGCAGCCTATTTAGACACACATACATGCACACTCCTGCCAACTACACTTGGCATACAAAGAGACAAATCAGTAAACAAAGTCAGCTTGCTGGCTTCTAACTGTCAAGCCTCTGCCATGGAAATAAACTCAACACAACATAGAAGTATTAAATATTATATTTGTTTTTCCCTGCTGACATGTGTCACCATTTACCTGTCCAGATAGGCTGTTACGAGGGGAGAGCAGAGGTTGGCTGTTGGCTTGGCCAGTCCCAGGCTAAAGATGGTGTCCTGAAGACGTCTGATAGTGTCTGGCCCTCCTTTGGCCGCCAGAGAGCTAAGTGTGTGGAAGAGCATGGTGAGGTGAGTGTCCCCCAGCACCACATCCTTCTCCTTCATCTCCTTTAGGATGTCCACTGCCTCTGTAATGCACAAATAGTCAACTTTTACTTTTAATGTTCACTAATCTCACAGAAAGAGAAAAAAGAACAAGACAGGAAATTTGGAGAGGCAGGCAGCCTTTGGCTGTAAGAAGAGTAGGGTGTGTGATACAGCCTCTTTAGCTAATTCCATGTGGGGAAAACAAACCCATATTAAAACAGCATTTTGCACGCAGCAGGGATGCAAATGCAACCCTGTATAATGCCAACTCTGTGCTAATTGCTACTTGCGGTTTTCTAAACGAGACTACAATTATTGAACACCTACAATGGAAGCCAGCTTTTTGCCGTGGCCATGTGCAAAGTACTTGGGGGGCTAAATTATAGGTATGTGGCAACAAGGGGCTGCTGTGGCCTCTGTGAGACCCTGTAAGCGGGCTGAGGGTGGATCGCTTTGGTCAAGTCCAGTCGTTAATGGAGGGCTTTTTACAAGGCCACGCGCCCATCTGGCCAACACATACACGCTGTGTGTATGTGCGTACATGAGATGTATTGGGGGTAAGGTAATTAAGACACATTTACTGTCTATTTAGACAGCTGCTAATGGGCTGACAGCGATACAGCCGCTCTCTAGCACAGATACTAATCCATACAGCAGAATGAAACAGAGACAGAATACATCTGAATACATTTATAACGATCATTTTAAAAGAACACAACTGCTGCACAGATAAAATGAACATTTAAAAATGCAATAGAAATGGCATAAGTCCTGTTTAACTTTTTTTGTCCATCAACTAGGCATTTAGATGTTTAGATTTAGGTGGGTGGGGTATCAATGAGATTGACATGAAGAAATTACCAATTTACTTTCAGCAGCTTTAACTCTTCTTACACACAAACCAGTGTTCGATGTAAAGCAATCTAATGGCGGTATCATCATTTAACAGGCACTCTAATGACCCGACCTGTTGATTAGTGAGAAGTGTTTATCAAAGCAGATGGACCTCACTCACTGTGTGTGTGCATCCCTGTTGGCCTCTCTCTATTCATAGCTCTCTCCATCACCCTCTGACAGACCCGCTAATCACTGTGACCAGTTGCTCGGACATAATCTGCCCAAATGGAGCCTCACTAGCAAACATGGGCCCGTCCAGTATTCAACCCCCACATCTCCTTTCATCTGTCCGTTTAGCCAGTATGCATATCCATCAGCTCAACGGAGCATCACGCCAGCAACTCGAGCCAGGCCTCACACACTCACACACGCACACACCCAGAAACAGAGGCAGACAGGCCAGGTAAACAAACATCACACAGCCCAGTGGTTCATCTAATGCTCCACGACTTCACTTGCTACTCTCTCCCTCAACACACTCATGGTGAAGGAAGAGGGCCTGCAATGGGCTGGAGCAGCTGGTGTTTAGTGGAGTAGGTGTACAAGGACAGGTCAGCAAGATGCACTAACTGTGAGAGGAGAAAGCTAAAGAGTTAACAGAGTGTTCATCGGTGTGAACCTCACACTTATGTGGCAGAACTGAGAGCAATTTTAGTTTGGCCTACATTTGTTTTAGCCCAAAATGATTTTATCCCATGCTGGAGAATCTTGTAAAAAAGCAGATTATGGATGCTGAGATGAGCAGTAGCTCTTTTTTAAACCCTATTTCAAAACTGTTGTTGCTTACCCTGGATTGGATTACGTTTCTTTATAATATTAAGAATATGGTGTGGACTGATTCCAAGGAGGTCGGGACCAAGTGTAGGTCACTGAAAACATCAGTTTTACAGTTTTTTATCTGAGGAAATTCACATTTTGAACCACTAGTGGCCATTTGATGTGTGGATTAAGATACACGTTTACAGACCGAGTTTGTTGTAGAGAACCAAAATAAAGGTGACTTTGGGACAAAGTTTGAAGTAAACAAAGTAAAAAGTAATGTGGGAGTGTTGGCTCTGAACAAGGGCATAAACAACAAAGCCATTAGCAGGGTGAGAAATAAATCGAGATGCCAGGAGACATGATCTTCAGCTGGGCTTGGTGTGCACTGGGAGCCCACAGGACCAGCGTCTGGGCGGGACAGGCTAACATCAAGGTTAGCCATGTGTGCTAATGGGTGACAAGCGTCCCCTCCGTATGCACACTCTGGCTAATGGCAAATGCGTTAGCGGCTCGCATACACCCCAAGCGTCATCCCGACCAAATGCCTTTTGCTTGAATTCACATGCAAATGTGTGTGTCCATCTGTGTGTCTGTGAAATGTTCAAGCACTTTGGTTGGACATGATATGCCATTAGCATCAAGGCAGATTTCAATAATTCCGCCAAAATACACAGAGTCCTGTAATTTTGGGTCTCTCTCATTTCTCCCTGACGTGGATGTGGGTGAGGGGGGGGGGTCGAGTGAGAGAATGACAGAGAGGGTCAGAGAGAGAGATGTGGAGGAAGATGGGAAGAGAGCACAAAGGGGAGGAGAGGACAGACAAGGGAAACATTTTGCCTGTCATTGTGTGCAAAAAGCAGAGCAGCCAAACTGATGGTAATTGGGTCTTCGATAGGCTGAAGGAAACCCACCGTAGCATTCAGAAAACGGCCGGCTAATGTGGTTTTGTGGAAAGTGTAGAGGGGGGTTTGACAGATTTGGGGACACACACACAACACTGGAGTATTTTAGCTGAAGTACTTTTAGACTTAATGTCAAAGTAGTAGTAATTGTGGCACACATCACTTTTAGATTCTCTAAACCATGTTTATAGACTAATTCAAACTTAAGAGTTTACAGTTTAACTTGCATGCTAGAAACTTACCTTCCACTTTGCCATTCTTTGTGAGGGTTTTCACCAGCACGATGTACTTATTTGCATCAAGGGCCACAGATGAGTCCATACGGCTCCTACATAAAGAGACAATAATGGATCCAATATACAATCCAATATTGGGTTATAAAAGCAACCCATCCAGGGCATTTTATAGTAGCCTGCTTCAGAAACAGGTAGATAACAAATGGTAAACATGAGGAACGTGATGGAGTTTCCACTATTTTAAAGTGGCAGCCCCTTTCATTAATGTCTTCCTTAATACCACTCAAGTTAAAACTTTAATGTGGTGCTGGTGGTCATGGTTCTGCCTGTGTGAGTAGTTTATTTCCATGTCTATCTGAAAACGCACATTTCCCTCTTCAGGTTGAGCGCTTCCTCTACGTTGTCATGACGGCAGCACAGGTTAATGAGAACAGCATACGCTGCAAGGGTCATCTCTTCCTCGTTTTGCTGCTTTAGTTCAAGAGCACGCTGGAGGTTCTGGCCACACAAAGAACAAGGACTCAGTTTAAAAAAAAAACAACTGAATATTATTTTATTACTGAATTGTATTTAGTGAAAGGGCCATACCTCCTCAGCTGAGAGAACCTGCAAGATATGTTTGAGTATCTGGCCCACAGGTTTATTCTCAGATTTCAGTTCTTCCAGTTTCTTCTCCAAAGTCAACACCCTACTGGCTCCTTCCTATTAGGACATTAGTATTATACATGAGATGGAATGTACACCAGCAAAGAAAAGATTTGGTTATTAAAACTTAACTTACACTGGTACGGGGAGCATCTTGAGCTAAACCATTGGACATTTTAGGATCCACCAAAGCAAGCACATCCTAAACACAAAACAATAAGCAAATCAAAAATCCCCAATCTTAACAGCCCAGTGATTACCAACATATTGGTTAGGACGTATACACAGTGAAGATCCATATTTTTTATATAAATGGCTTGTTTATAACACACACATTTAATTATTTAGCAATTAATCCAATTAACAGACCCACCTTAAAAAGATGTACAATGTAACTTTTTGGTGGGGGGTGAGTCACTGTCTTGTCTCTATGGATGACATTACTCTTCCTTGAATGTTCCATAGTATGACATTACACAGCTATACCTTACATTTATTAAATTATACAGGTGGTTTTAAAACTCAAAAATACCAGAAAAACAAACAGAATGCCTGTTTTTCAGTGAGCAATGCTGCCTCTCCAAAGATCTGATCTCTAACTTAGTCTGGTTTGGTCTCCATGAAGATCAAAAGGCTTAATATTATACTGTGAAACATTCCTGACAAAGCAATAACATCTCCATGGAGAAAGGCATTTGACAGATTCTTCACCAGAAAAGTTACATAATGCACCTTTAACAATTAAGAAAAACAATGAAATGTATTTACTTTGATGAGTTCAGGAACATGGTGAGCTTCTAGAAGGTTCCTGATGCCTCTGTAGATATTGGCTGAGACTGTTATATTCTGGGAGGGGAAAAAAAAAGTATAATATTCTTTAGAAACTTTCTGAAGTATTTTTTTTATTTCTACTCATAGAGAAGTTGTTGAGCTTTGTGCAAATTTCACAAAAGAAAACTGACCTATCCTTTAACAATTTTAAACTATAGGCATTCAAGAATGTCATGATATCATGAAAATGCCAACCGTCTTTTCACCTATATAATAAACTAATATATATTAAAGTTCACATGTTACAGTTACTGCTGCAACATTTAGTGAATTTCAACTAGCTGCAGAGAAGGCTTAACTCCAAAGTGTAGAACAGGGTTTAATCTTCCACAACATGTCTAACTGTCCAAATCAGACTTTTACCCTCATAAATAGCACACAGGGGGGCAGTGGTCCTGTGGTGAATAATCTCTGTCAACACTGTAAATAATCCCAGCTCACAGTTGGTAAGATGTTGTGATGTGAGACATGTATAACTGGTCTAGTGCTTGTACCTGTTGTCGAAGCTGACTGAAGTATTTCCTCAGTTTGTCTTCTTGAGCCTGTAACTCCTTCTCTGGCATGTTTTCAATCAGGTTGTACAAAAAGAAGGCTCCCGCTTCTGGATGAGGGGAGACACAGAAAAAGGGAATTTTCTCTAGGGAATACATTTCATTTGGCACCGTGTCAGTCACTTGGCGAATTTGTGCGTTTATACAATTTTTCCCTGTGACCTCTGCAGATGTGCTGACGGAGGCTGCTATCAGACCGTTTGGGAGTGTGAGTGAATGTGCGATATCTGGCAGTGACAGCCTCCCCCTACTTCAGCACACAGAGCCACGCATGGAGCGGTTAACTGGATGTGACATGGATAACAGTCTCCATCTCCTCCACCAGCGCACACACAAACACTGGGGCTCTACCAGTGGGACCAACTCACCCACAGCCCACACACACCCACACACACACACAGAGAGTGGCCAAAATTACTGAAGGTCGTTTTGCTCAGTTGGTAGATCCTAAACTAATCCCTTGCATGAAATTCCAAAGTACTGTAGTTTTTTTTGTAGTTTTTAATAAGTCTTATAATGTCTGGAGTTATTTACGTATCTGATTTCACTGTGTTTTTGTGCAGCACCTTACATGTTCCTAAATCTTTCAACATCATTAAAAAGGTAATATTATTACATGTTAGTATAATAAAATATATAAGCCAATGAATATAAAAATATGAAATAAAAAAAAAAAAAAAATGCTTTTTTGAGAAAAACAAAAACAACAAACTAACAAACAAGAACAAAAAAAATCTAAATTAAACTAACAGAAACAGAAGAAACTTTGCGTCATAGTTTAGGGAATCTTAAGTGACCAGTATTAATAGCTAATCTTATGTTTTAGGTGTTCCAATAATTTTCGCCACTACCGTCATACTGTCATAGACCAATGTTGACAAAGACTCATTCATACAATATAACCACTCAGCACTTTGTCAGCAGCCTGGCTCCGTTTCCGAAGACAACACTTAGATACAAACACATCAGCTTCATAATGCAAAGCAGTCGAGTCAGCGGTGTACTGCCACTGACACTGTCGAGATTCAAAAACACCACTTCCCTTTGCAGAGGAAGTGTGCGTTTTTCTGTCATCTGAATTATAGCGACAAGGTGACTGTGGATGCACTTGTCATGCTCGGAGTTAGATCTGTGATAGATGATACATAAAGAGACACCCACTCTCTTACTCTTCTTTCTGCTAACACCAAACTTGCTTACAAGGACACTGTCAGCTTAGAAGTTGTCAGTGACACAGAATGGAAGTGTTTACCAGCAGGTTTGGTGTTTTCCCCATACAGGCTCTCCTTTTGGAACAACAACTCTGTAATCTGCAACAATGAACAACAGACACTTAAAAACACATTTAATCCAAATGCACAGATTAGACAAAGTTATCGGGACAAAAGAAATGCATAGGTCTTTAGAGATTACATATTTCCAGATTGTCTTTAAAACCTCATGAGGATTTACATAAATGCAAAATACTTTGTAACGTTTGGTATAGCTTTTTTGTGCAACAGTAATATTAACAGAATACTATTATATTTTAAAACACTATAAAAATGATTATTCTCATTACATTTACAATTATTATTATTTGCTTAAAATAGCAGAACTCTATGGTTATAAGCCTGCTCCTAAACATTTACAATTTCTTACCTTGGCCATGCTCTCCACATCAGATGACCTGCAGGGGGCAGTAAAGGACAAGACATCAGAACACTGTTCTACTAAAACATGATGAATGTGCAGTATCTCAAGTTGACAGATTTTAACAAGTTGGCCTTCATTTATTGATATTTATATGTATGTATATGTAAAATCTTGGTGGTGAGAGACATGTAATGCAATGAACACAAATCTTTCTTATCTCTTGAAAGACGTTTAGGATGTGTGAGCTCATGTAATGTTCACAGTTATGTCATGTAACTGTCATGTTTCTGTGAAGGGACTGTGCACCACAATACATTAGGACAAGACAGTTTACACAGTTACTTTCCAACCCGACAGTACGAGTGAAGACAGCAGGACAAAAGCCTGGGAAACCACAAGGACACACACAAACACATGCATGCACACACACACACAGACACACACACGCACACAGACGCTAAATGATGACTGTGTGACATTTGTGGTGTTGTCAGCTCGCTGGTAGACGAAAGGAGGGAGTCGGGGAAAGGGAGAGGGTATGAAAAGAGAGTAGAAGAGGTCTTTAATGATTAAATTATCTCCTGACCTTGTCTTTGACAGGGCAAATCCCCCATCGCAATGACACAGAGAGCACACACACACACACTTTCCCAGTGACAAGCCCAATTATGACCCTGTCAGGAAACCTAACAGTCAGATGAGCACGTTGTGTGTGTGAGGCAGAGCTCCATGAGAAAGAAAAGGGCAGAACACCAAGTTCAGCAAAAGCAGCAAAACCTTGACTACAATAAGAGGGTATGCAAGTGAAGATAAAAGACTATTTTCACAATCCAAGTCAATAGCTCAGGAGATGTAAGAGATCTGCTACTTTTGCAAAAAAAAAAAAAATAATAATAATAATAATAATAATAAAAATAAATAAATCCATCTCATTAATATCTTAATTATTAAGTGATTGTAATATAATTTTTGTGATAAAAATTACACAAAATTAGAAACAATGCTCCATATATCAAATACTTTGTTAGCAGTTTTTGACCAAACTTTAGTTCAGCAACTTAAATATGAAAAAAAAAACAACTTCAGTCCCACTGGAGAAGTCAGCACTTTTCACTCACCTCCAGCTTCGCTTTGGGCCCTGACTGTTTTTGAGTGGGTGTGTAGTATTGTAAATATTCATAAACAGCTCTTGACAAAAGCCCAGTGGTAACAGGCTGATTTGGTTCAGGTTGAATGTATTTATGAGGGAGGGAGTAAAAAAAGACAAATATATGTGGGGCTTTGTGTACGGGGGGGGGTCAATGTTGGTGGGCATCTGTTAATTTACATATCTCCCACGGTGCTTTGGGGCTGCATCCAAGAGACGAGTGCCTCCATATGCATGAGGCGTCCATGTATGTGAGTGTGAGGTTTTCCCTGCAGCTGGCCATGCGCACACTCTGTAGATGGTGTGATAGGCTGCACATGTCCCATTCAAAGCATATGCTGCTGCTGTGACCTCTATAGTGCTACAGGCTTCCCTAAACGGTTCAGTTGACACAAGGCAAAATTTGGCCTGATCAAGAATATTCAGACGAAAAAGTGTGTGAGGAAAAAAGAAAATACTCACTTTCTGAAACCAATGATGAGGCTGCCCCGGAAGGCTATCAGTTCAGGTGTGGGCAAAGAGGCATCAGACACTAAAAAGTTATAAATTACAGTTATAAATGCTCAGAGACAAGTGAAATAGGAAGCTACAAAAAACATGACGTCAATTAAAATGTAGTTTAATTTTTAAATAGTGATATTATTTCCTTTAATCAATGTAAGGATTTGATAGTCTAACATGTGTACATTAATCTTAAATATGTGTAAAAGCCTACAAATCCAATTAAATATTTATCCAGGAAAGTTATGTTTAAAATATAAAGAACAGAGTTTAAAAAGAGGGCATATATGGCCAAGTCCAAAATGATAAGAAAACAGAAAACAGGAGGTGCTATTCATTATTAAACACCTCTATCTAGTCCCTGTGTCAGTGGAGGCGCCTCTCCTGCCCCGCTCTTTACATATTCACACAGACTAATCTCTTAAAAGGCCTGATGAGCACACAGGACTAAGTGGGCAAACGCAGTGTGTTAATGCAGGACCAATTAGCCCGCAGGCGAAGCACCGGTTTGGTATGATGACAGGCGCTTGTGATGGAGATGTGAAATGTGTGTGGAAAAGACTTGCATAAAGTGTACAGCCCGGCCAGGTCTCGAACAGCCAGTGAGCGAATCTCTGAAGACAAGAACCCTTCTGACTCCAGTGAGACACCAGCATCCTATGAGAAAGATATGAACTTATATTAAAAGGTATGATCTGAAAAACGATAGGAATAAAGTGAACTTGGACATACCTTGAGCGCCTGTCTGGCCTCCTGCGAGCTGGGGAAGGCAGGGAGAACATACGTGGAAAGAGTGTCTACATCTGGGGCTACACCGAGATCTTGCATGGCTTTCACAATCTCCACAACAGCTGCACAGAACCAACAACGGTTTTAAGTTAAAGGGCCCATATTGCGATATTTTCTGATCTATGGTATCATGTGGTTTCCTCATCAAAAACATACCGAATTGTGTTTTGTTTTATTCACACATGCTTAACACATAAACCATATATTTAGTCCCTGGAATTTTTTATCTCTACTGACTTAAAGGTAAAAGGTAGCTGTTAAATTGAAAAGTACCGCTTCATGACATCACAAGGTATAGTATTTTGGGCATTTAAGATGTAGACAAACAACTCTGGGTATGTTTCTAACGAGGTAACAATATTCTAACATGGCTTAAAGGTCATGAGTCTATGAGTTTCAAGTCAATTTTGTGCAATATAGGACCTTTAAATATTAAAAGTAGTGGCAGCTACCAAAGAGACGAACTGAATGAAAAAACTGAAGAAAATGTTTTGAATTGACAGTTTCATCATTTTTCATGTGTTGGAAAACATGTAGCCATCATCTCATTTTTTGATAGCTTGAATAAATACATTTATTTAACTGACAATTCAGTGTGTTTGAGTAAATACAAAATGCTTTCTTCTCTAATAGACCACATTTGCTGTTTGCAGACAGGAAGGAGCTCAAGTTAAGAGCAAAGTAAAGCAAGTCAGTCAAATTAAATGTGTACATAAACAGTAAACACAGTGGGACCTTCCACCATCACTGCTCTATGGCCAAGCTCTGGGTCTCACCCGGAGGAAGTAGGCCAGAAACAACATGCATATGGAACAGCTACTCAGAAAGCCCTTAAGAGTGTGTACATATGGACGAGGTGCTTTGCGTATGTCTGCTTAATAAAAGGAAATAGATCTAATTTACAGCAGATTTCTGAGTGTATTGCTATGTGCAGCTTTTGGACAAAAATAGTAATGGACCAATACAACCTCTGAGAGTACCAATACACCTTGTTCTCATGAGGACTGGTGCAAACTAGCCAAAGTGCTTCTGGAGTTGACACATGCAGTTTACCACATACACATTTATAGCCTCTTTCTCTGTTGCCAAGTCTCCCGGGACATATGTGTTCACCTGGTAGTCTCTCACTGAAGCTAAATAAAAGATGAGAGTTAGGCTTTTATGTGCCATTAAAACCTGCATTAACCCAGGTATAGGGCTACCTGAGGCACTCCGTCCATCTACCCATCCATTCAGCTTTCCCGCCAGATCACTCATTCACTGGCCCTCTCACTATCAGGTGGCACAGCTCTCAAGAAACAAGTAAACAAGCGATCTTAGGCTCTCTTCTCAATGGGAAGATCTATCCATTCGGCCTCACTGTTGTCCATTCTCACCCCTAATCGCTTTCATCCTGGCTTTTTTTATGAACGAGAAGAGGATGTACCTACCTTCCTCCTGAATAATCCATAATCTATTTCACGGTGAAACAAACAAAGAAGAAAAAAGTGAATGAGAGCTGAAGACATGATGCTATTTCGCCTGGCTTTTGGACTTTAGTGGTTCTCAGCACTTTTAGTTACCTACAGTTGTACAGTTTCAGTTTTTTTCTGAACAAAACTTTCAGGGCACCATAAGGACATCAAGATGAAAAAACAAAGTCTTTAACAGAAAAACAGTTGGTAATTTATATTCTAAAAGATCTAGCACTTCCATCAACCCAGTGGCTTTGCTCTTATTTCATTATACTGGTTTGGATTGTTTTTAGGACTAGTAAGATCAACTTTAGCATTTCCGGTATAACTTTTGTTGTTGTGTTTTATTATCCATCACTGTACAGCACTTTGGAAATCATTTTGTTTGTTAGAAATAAATTGGATTTGGATCATTTGCATCCCTGTCCCTCAAGGTCACTTTCCAGTTTTTGGATGTGAGTAAGCCTCGTTGTTCTGTGTCCTGTCTGAACTGCTTAAATAAAACATTGGGCGCATAAGAGGACCTGTGAGGGCCTCTGCAGGTTGGTCAGCACCGACTCTGACATACCATCAAATCAGGAAAGGATCTTAGCAGTGAGTTAAGCATGGCACTGGTCACAAGATATCAGCATCAGATTCATGTCTCCAGGTTAACTGTCACAGATGAGGAGCGTGGAGGAGAGGAAAACAGGATCCGGTCGCTGTCATCTTAGTCGTCCTTGGACATGAGTACCTGTCACTTCCCCTTTCCCCACAACCACACTATCTGTCTCTACAGCTTCTCTCCTCTTCTACAAAGGTAGTCTTCACTAGCTCAGAGGTGATGTCAAAAACTTAAGACAAGTAGATGAATGTGCGAGGTGGGTAAGACTACTTTTATGATTCTGTCTGGGCAAACATCAGGCTTAATGAATACAAACTAAGTATGGTAATTTGAACATAAAAAAGTGGTCTCTTAGTGCTAGTACCACTTTTTAAAAAAGGGGTTGCTAAGACCACCACCCCAGTTTACGCCAATGAATAAATGTGACTCACTGCACTTTAGGTGGTATTTATATGTTCATGTTAGTTTACATTAGTATTAGTTTCATGGCATTTACTTATTGTGTGTTTATGTTGTTCTTTTTAGAAACCTGGATTGTAAAAATAAACTGAAATTAATCTCCATTGTTTATGATCTATTATATCTCTAAGTTTAGAGGATACAGTGGTCTACGATTCATCAAATATTATGAAATACTACTAATAGTTTGTTTTGTTTTTTAGAAAAGATACAATACAATATCTCAAATAGCCCTTAGTATATGAGAGTTAAGTAATTTTTAGTAGTATAAAATCTAAAAAAAAAAAAAAAAACTAAACCCTCAAAAACATCCACCATCCTTTTGTGTCAGAAACAGTAAGACAGTGTGCCACAAAGACCAACAAGCAATAACTAGCTAGCGGCAGGTGGTACGTAGAGGCTAGCATATGCTTCCACTACACCCGCCAAAACCACACCTCATCAAAATGCACTACAATCCCCCTCCCCTTTACTCTTCCCATTGCTAAACCTCATTTCCGTGGATCTGACCGAATTCACCCGCTAGTGACACCTGTGGACAAAAAGTGACACGGAGCTTAATATTTCATGGGACGTGCACAGTGGGGCGCGTAATCCAAAGTGAATTCCCTCAGAGCGCTCACATTTACATGGAACCAAGTCACTCTGCATCAGTCACTTCACCTGCACTGGCCGCCCCAAAGTCCCCCTCATACATGTGGACACACGCCCCCCACAGCCACTGGGCAGCAGAGACAGAAAAGGAAGGCTGTATCATTAATGAGAGTTAAGGCAAACAACATCATAAGCAAGTGTGTAAGGTTATCTAGCTGACTTCTAATATCAAAACATATGCAGACAGAAGAAACTCATTAATCTTATCATACTATGTGGTTAACAATTAATGGAATGTTCAAATGCCTTATGTTTGAATGAAGTCGTCATCTGTTTCTTTACTTTATTGTACCCCTTCTTTTTCCCTCACCTTTAAAAAACAAGCCAATCTGTCTCAACTAAAAGTTTATCTCAAATTTTAATCCACTTTCCCCTTCCTGCCTGCTCAAATGATGTCAATGAACTGACCGGGGGAAAATACATGACTTATTAATAGCTCTAAAAACCCCAAAGAGAGCACTAGAGCTAAGCATAAATAAAAAAGGTAAAAGCAAAGTCGTTGCTAAACACATCTGACAGAGTTTGTGGTAATGAATGTGAATTTGGACATTTCTTTACTTGCTGATTCCTCTAGACGCCTGAACACAATAATCTAAATAACCAAATGAAGAGCCTTTACAAAAAAATATGATGTACTCCATGTTTGTAATTTGTCTCTATACTGTCTGTTTTACTTTTCTATGACCAGTACAAGTATACGAAATATAGCTTGATGATTATTAGTGCCATTTCAAAAAAACAGCTGTCAATTCAGTATTTCAAAAGCAGCTACATTTTCATTAATATTATCTATAGAGGAGTAAAAAAAAAACAACTGCTGCTACAAAAACTATATAATGACAGACGCCCTCCTTCCAGCTGCACTGAGAATCATTCAATTGACTTGATTTGCAGATATGTTCATAAAATCTTGCTATCCAATGATAGACTTTTATATTATGTGGATGAGTGAGCTTCAGGCTAAAAGACCAAAATTCAGCTGCTACAACACAAAGGTCATGCACAAGTGTAGGTAACAGCACTCACAATAATATTGTGAGCCATCACAGTATATCGAATAACAAGTTTCTCTGTTTAAATTCATTGTTATGGTGCAGCTAAAAACACAGAGAACTACATATACCATAATCTTCTGCTCTGTTTCAGTCCAAATTACATGATGAAATAACTTATTAAACATTTTTACATTGTAATTATTTACATTATGACAGGAAAGTAGCATATTCACACTTTTGCTAGCCTAAACAATATATTGCAATAAATATTGTATCGAGAGATTTATGTATCTTTACATTCCTAATTCCCACTATATTTAAAAACACTGACATTCATATCAGAGTGCTCTAGCTGAAAGTCAGGGAGAATTTTGGTCTTGGAGTTCATTGGTCAAAAGAGCTGAAACTTATTCTTAACTTTGTTATCTACTCCTAGAACCCTCCAGAGACTGTGTTTGTCTATGCGTATAAACCCATATGTTTCTATCCTCTGACCCCCTCGCGCTCTCGTGCAAGGATCAGACCTCTTTGCCCTTGACTGCCCTCACACAATGAAAACTGTCCCAGTACGACCACTCAGAGCTGTATTAATATTTGAGAGAAACACTCCTTTAAAAGCCCTTTCTGGTACAGAGGACACATAAAGGCGTAATACACTGAACCAAACCAGAATACCACATTTTTACATAAATGCCATTGAAAAGGTTGATTACTGTTGTTAGAAGGTTTATGTAGCTTTGTGTGGTGGACAGGAGTCAGTCTCTGTATGATGGATGATTTATTAGGGACATAGATTCTGATATCAGGTATTGATCAATTTACTAACCAATGCTAGCACAAAATGCCTCATCATATTAAACTTTTTTTGTTTTGTTTTTTGTTTTTTACAAAGCTGTTCTATAGTTGCAAAACACATTTGGATCATGTTTACCTCATGCTGTGTTTAAAAGAAATAAATGCTATTTTCAGTCTCTGTACTGGTATTGTTTGAGAATGGGCATCGGTAGATACTTAAAGACAAAGTAACAGAAAAAGCTGGATGGGCGCATCTCTATGATTTACAGTGATGTACGTGTATTGAAAACTCATTTATAGTGTATAAAATAAAATGGATCATATATGCAAAATATATGGATGCTTCTTGCTCAGGTGCCTTTTACTGTATACTGTGTCTTCTTACCAGTCAAGTTTTTGTCCTTGACGTGAGCAGTGAGGAGTGGCCAAAAGAAGTGTGGTCTGACTGGCATCTTTTGGTCTTTCAACATCTTCATCAGCTCAATAGACATACCTGAAAAAAATGCATGATCAGTGTTTATTAAAGATTTATTAGAAAATACAATGTGAATCATAAAAGATCTTTACCGGTTTTCTTGGCTTCCAAAGCACAAGACAATACAAAGATAAGAGGTGATGTGTGCAAATTGGCCTCTTGAAGCTCTTTACAGTATTGCCCAATTTTTTCTAAAGACTGAAAAAAAAAAAAAACAGAATATGATTACTTTGCCTATGAATATATATTTCAGCATATATTTCAGATTTCACACGTTCCCCAATTTACCGTTTCCATGCTGACACAATGTCTAAGGAAAAAGTTTCCAAGGTTTAGAGAGTCTGGGCTAACGTTATCCATTTGCAAGGTGGGGAAACTCTTTAGGATGTGAAAGGCAGTGTCTTCCTGGCCATGTGTGATAAGACTCAAACACAAATTCATAGCATCTACAATAAAACATCAAAGGTTAAGCAAAATGGGACTAAACGTGCACTTATATCTAAAAGAGTGGTGAATTTTACCTGGGATGTAGCCCCTCTCATGCCTCATACGCTCTATCATTTCTGGGGTGTGTTGATGGTGTCCAGCCTTTGCCAGTGTGAAAATAACTTGCATTAGGTCTCTGTCCATCAAACTACAGTCTGCATTTTCTGCTGCCTCCAGGGTCTGAGATACACAAAATAATAAAATAAGGAGTTACAAAGTAAATTATGAACACACTAGTAAAGTCTAGTGTGCAGTTTAGTTTCATGTAACAGGGCTTGTGGTGAATCTATAATGAATTGGCAATGCATTTATATTGTGAACACTCAACTCAACAGACACACATTGACTAAATCAATAGTGGCAATGACAGGAACACATCACTCCATAAAAACAGTTAACTATTCAACTGAATCTAACAGACCATGTATGAAAAGCACTTGGGATATGCATAACCGTAAGAAACAGGTTCACAAACCGCTTTCACATTCTCCATGTCTCCGTTTTGTGCGTAGGCATTAAGAAGTGAGACATAAGTATCAGGTCCTGGTTCAATTCCGGCATTTCGCATCACTGTAAGGATGTTTTTCGCACTCTCAATATCACTGCACAATGAAAGAAAATCAAGATTATTTCTCAGCATTTCAGTATAATTTAAAATTTTTTGTGAAAACATGAGGGAAGCCACCCTTACCCTGCACGGGCATGGCCAGTAACCAGAGAATTGAAGACTGCTTCTGTGATGGGCAAATCTTTGCTCTTCATGAATCCCAATATTGTGCTATACAACAATACAGTTGGTGAAACAAAATTAGTTCAAGGGGCTTAAAATAATCATTTTGCATATTCATATCACCAAGACAACTTACCTTGCTCCTTCAATGTCTCCATTTTGACAATACGCAGCAATAAGTCTCTGATAGGTTACCTGTGCAAAATACAGTACAGTACATGTATTTTTTAGTAAATTTAACATCACCTATGTGAATGGGTTTATGCGATTAAAAAGTGGGAAACTGACTCTATTGGGAATGGTGTTTACTGCTTCCATTTTTGCCAAAAAGTCCATAGGAGAAAATTTAAACTCATTTTGCAAGTAAACCTTCAGCAGAGCATTGTAATGACTGACATCATACTGAGCACCTGTGACATAGTGACACAAAAATGTTACACGTAAATTAATTCAGAGGTTATGTATATTTAATCATAAAATACTGAAACCAAGCATAAACTGATTATGGTTTCTCACCCAGCTCCTGTAATTTCTCCCAGATGTGATGAGCTAACTCAGTGCGATCTGCAGGTGGAACTTCTGGTAACAGTGATCCACAGCTCCGAAGTAACAACAAGGCTTGATTACCACTGGGATAACCTGAATATTACAACAAAGTTAATCTCATGCAAATCTAGTCATGTCATTGTTGCTCTCGTTTAGTTGCAGTAGGTACCTGTTCTGCAGATGTCATGGAAGATGCGGAGTAGCAGTGTTTTTGTGATGCGACCAGTCCTTCTCACAGAGCTATCCAACTTGCTCAAAGCCCAGTCAAACTGCTGTGCCTGCTTTGAGCGTACAGCTGCACTTGCCTCTTCTTTACGCTCTGTGGCAACTGCATAGCTACGCACCACACTAGTTGTAAGTGGTAACAAATGCCTGAAATGACAATAGAATAATAAGTCAACATAAAGTAGTATAAACAGTAGGTGCTCTAGAAAATAGTACAATAAAAATGCAAAAAATATGCAATTACAGAGTTTATTTTTAATGTCTACTTGGCAGGCTGACAATTACCTTTCAGACAAATATGTTGGAATTAGGCAGACCTCGATTTACCAGGACAATAATAAATGACATGAGATCTTAATTACACTTTTTAATCACACCAAACGCATGTTTGAAGGGCAATGTAAGACAACAAGCATACATGTAGAAAGCAATTATGCTATAAGAAAGAACTCAAGTTAACAATTATCACACCATTTACACTAACTTATGTTTCTGTCTCTCTGACTAATGCAGCCAAAAACAAGAAAGGTTCAAACACATGGGCTTTAAAGAACTCTTTGTGAGCTCAATCTCGCAAATAAGGACTGAGGCATGTGCAAAAGCGAGAGCAGTGTCAACACTATTACAAAGTATTAACAACTGCCTGCTATATTCCACATCTGATGTAGATGATCAAACTATATTAGGTTAAAAAAAATGTATGTCGGAGTCTGTCATTGACCCTCAATGACATTACAGCATCACGCGTGGATAGCCACTTAGCTAACATGTAGCGGGATACCTGGGCGCATTTCCTAACGATGGAAATAGCTGGTGGGGACACACTCCAAGGTTTCTGCTTCCAATTACTCCGCTGTATAATCGACCAGCCGACACGCCGTTACTTTTTGTCCCTGTGATCTGAAGCAAGCACGAAGGTTTGTACTTAAGTAACCGGGCTGATCTCAACAGCGCAGCCATGTTTTCTGTCGCAGCATGAACAAGCTTCCGCATCACGTGACCAAATGTTAATGAAAACGTCACTTTCAGAGGCCAGCGTTTCTGCCATGGTTTTATTGTAAAATCCTTTCTTCTATTTTACTGCAATTTTAGATGTTTCAGTGTCATGGCTCTATTTTTTGTTTTAAAAAATCTGTGTTTATGTCATAATACAAAAATTCAATTACATGGTGGTTTAAAAGAGTTTATTGGAAAAAACACACACAAATAGATGATCAGACATTCAAAAAATGCAAGTGCTTTAGATTTCTTCTACCAATTTACCATTTCCTCTTCGTTTTCCTTTTTTCCAGCTCTGCTGAACCTCAGTCTTTGCTTTAGTCATTGATAACAATTCTGTCTCTCTTTTACTGTGTTCATTCCATAACTCAATAGCAAGAATACTTATATTATGTTCATTTTCCACCACCCAAGCTTGGAGGAACTCACATTTTTTGCAGGCCATAAAGTATTTCTTTCTCTTATTTCCCTGGTCTTCCTCCTTAGATAAGGCTGCTCTGGCCTGCGTGAACACTAATCGCAGCTGACTTAGAGCAGAAAGACAGTATCCAATTGAATATTCCCTGTTTTTGCCTGTTAGTATGTGAGCTACAGCTTCTACTGCTCTGGTGGGGGCATCGGGGTCATCCTTACTGAGGTAGCCTTTGCCTAAAATTAAAGTTTGTACAGAATCTAATGCCTCCTGGACTGAGTTAAATATTTTGTTTGAATTCAGTGCCTCAGACATAGTTAATATCATGTCACACAGTTCAAACATGAGAGAGTCAGTGTCTCCATTAAAGAAACAAAGAGCGAATGAGTAACTGAAAATTGCATTGACCAAAGAGAAGCCAACCAAAGGGGACGGATTTGAACACAGGCAACTCAACTTGGGGATTTTTGCAGAAACTGGAGGGACACCAGTTTGGGCTGACTCTTGGCTGTTGTCTATGTCTTTTCTTTTTTCTTTGACCTGTTTAATCTTTGTATTAGATTTATTTCCAAGTGTACCTTGTTGTAATGTTTTAACAGTATTGGCATTGCATTTTTTCTCTTCACTCATTTCCTCCTGGAGCACTTCTATCTGTACCCATCCACTCTCCTCATGATCCTCCCACCATGGCTTCCACAGAGTAACAAGTCCATTAAAAGCACCATGTTTAATTAATCCTACAAACTTTTTCTTCTCCTCTTTGTTCAAAAGGCCCCACAGTTGTTCCTCTGAGAGCTCATCAATATCCAACCCTTGCAATCGATCAGCTAAATCTATGTCATCATTTTCATCCTGGGCATCTTTATCCTCTAGTGCATCGACATTGTTCTCTGTTCCTATTTTTTGAAGGTTTCTTAAAATATTCTCAATCTCCTCTGCATTGTCCTCATCAGTCTCCTGTAATTCTGCAAGCCTTGACAAAAGTTCAATAGCTTCTACATTGATCTTTGTGTCTTCTGGTCCTTCTTCTGATTGCCCTGACAAAACCCCTTCTTCTTTCAGCAGACTCTCCATGCCACCATCTGTATTTTCTGCCTTCTTTCTAAGTCCTAAAAGAATTTCTTGCATTTTCTTTTTTCCTTCCGCCTCAGTTTTACCCATCTCCTTCAGCTCCTGAAGAACAGACTCTTTATAAAAGTCCTCTGAACAAACGGAGTGCTCAGGGCTCTTGTAACAGGTCAAACTGCAGTAGGGCACATTGCACCGAGGACAGGTATACAGGGAGGGTTTACAGTGGCAAAGCAAGCACACAGCTCTTCTCTCGCTTTTCTCTATGCTCTGTGCAGTATTCTCGCCATGGGATGGAGAGAGAAGCTCCTCTGGTCCCACAGCAACTCCCCTGGGCGGTAGTATAATCCCATCCCTGATCTCCGGGTGTGGCTGTACGTCTGTCCATTCTTCTTTCGGACTGATGTCAGTCAGCAGAGTCCTCAAAGACGAAGGAAGTCTTCGTTTGATTATTGGATTCATGGGAGCATCAAACACAAAAACTGGCAGCAAAATATGCAGGCACCCTAAAGAAAACAATACACATTAGATCATGAGATGTACCAAAGATAGCTTCGCAATATAGCAAACGCTACACAGGGCTAACACAACTACGCATGTTAATTAAAAAACGATAATGGGGAATGAGGGAATGAGTTGGATCCTCCGGGACAATGGACCACGTTAAATACATTTTAGTCCCCTTTCCAATAAAACATAAATTTAGTATAAATCATAAATATGAGCAAAGTTTACCTTCGATGAAAACAAATCAACGCTGATTGAAAGTTGTCCGCTTTTGATGACGTCATGCAAAAAAAAAAAAGTTCCTTAAAGGAGACCATAAACTTGTACAGGGATCAGTAAATAAAATAAATAATGAAAAAACATATTTATTCAACAAAAATTTTATAACCATCATTTACTATCAGTTGCCTTTACACAAATTTTTTGTGTGGTTTTAGACACCCAATTAACTAATGTCTGGAATGAAGACTGAACACTCCTCAAGTTTGTTTGTTTGCTTTTTGCTTTTTATTTGCTTTCCGTTAGCTTTCTCCGCTTCTGTCTACTTTCTGTACCACTCAGGAATGTGCCGCATGGACATCTCCCATGGGGCTGTTTGCTATGAGGTGATTGTCTCCTGCGGGGAGTCAAGCATGGTAAAGGTCATGCAGGTGGGAGATGTCAGGTGGCTGTCTACCCCTGACCAGGCGCCCGTGCCTCCTGTCAGCCCATAGGGAAAGCACACAATAAAGTACGCATCTAAGGCTGACATGGGCATGCTGCTTTGTCCCCACCCTTTGGTGCCATACTCACATTTCAAGTCTGACTTTTCCTTGATCTAATTTGTTTCGTCGCGCTTACACCATCCACAGTGGCATTGGTACCACATATCAAAGTCTATTAAACCCAATATTAGCTCATACACATTTAGTGTTGCTGTATGTTTTCTCATCTCATACTGATCACTAAAATAAACTAAACTGGTGATTACACTCAAAAGGACAAATGGAATATTTAAAGATGACACATTCTCCTTTTGTGAATCAAAAAAAAAAAAAAAAAAAAAAAAAGGCAGAGATTATGCCTTGTCTATCCATCTATTTACATTTTTAAAATGTCCATTAATATGTGATGTCCCTTTACAAATAAAATAAGAAAAATATCAGAAAAGAAAATAATACTCTTGTTGTCTTTGACACCTGTCAAATTATGAATTTCTTCATCTTTGTTTATTCTCTTTATGCAAAATAATAATATGTTTGGCATTTCTGTTTTGGCTCTTGGGAAGGAAATAATAAGGCTTTATAACCTGTTTGGAAATCTAAACCCAGGACCTTGGTCACCAAAGTGTTACTATTTATTAGGGGCCTGAAAGGCATCCACACCAAATAAGGACTGGACTTGGTGCAAGACACCTCCTTTATTTTTCATGAATGAACCGAGACTCGAAGGCTCAACTCACCAGCAGAAATGCATCAATGGACCTGCTCTGCTCAATAATTAATCTGGAGTATTATTTATTATTTACCCAATATTTTGTACATCCTTCCACTGACCTTGTATCTCCACCACATCCTGTCCATTCATCAACTGTCATGCTTTGCTGGGTCAGCTTCTTCTAGTGGACTCTTTGAACATGACTGTGTTTAGTGCAGTGCAGTATGTGATGTGCTAAAATACAGGTAGATGGAGCAGTAACCTCAGAGTGACCTAACATGACAAGCAGAGAAAGGAGTTAAAATTCCATTGTAATAGAGATGAAGAAAATCCACATATTTTTGTCAGATTGTGATATTGTTTGTAGCTGCTGAAGGTATCATGAATTCATGGCTACACCTGGTGGACCGCACTTGTAGCAGTATAATTAAACTGTGGACTCTCATTTTCAGTAATGTAATTTAAATTTAACAGAGATGGAGAAAGAAGTATGAAATATATTGAAAATGTCACTGTTTATAGTTTGGCTGTACTGTATCTTTCTCTGTTGCAGCACTCCCGCAGGAACAAACCTGAGACTGCTGCATCGGAGTATCACCAGCCTTAATGCCCCCACCTTCTCCTGCCCCACGAGACAGAGCACCGGATCAAGGAAAGAGGGTATGTCTGTGAGGACAGGGAGGTAGGGGTGAAGGAGAGAAGTGTTTTTGTGTCCCAGAGGACCACTGCCTGTCTGTCTGCATCAGCAAGTGAGAATGTGATGGCAGTGGAGACAGGGCAGAGGCATGCCTTCACCACTTGTGTGTTTGCAGCAACCTTGTTGAGCTGAGGTGTCATATATGTGAAGATTGTGGCTCGACTAGAGATGATGCTCTAAATCACTGAAATGCCAGGGACAAGTGTGCTGTGATATGTTGTGTGAGTGAAAGAGTAGAAGCTTGTGTATCCTATGAGACTGGCTGGGGTTTAATGCTTTACTGTTCTTATTTTTGTACTTCTAAAGATTGTGGGTTTCATCATAGTGCTAACAGGTGATATTTTTAAGTTTGCAATCCTTGCAATATTTCTGCAGGGTTGGAGGTTACAGGGGTCACCTACAACTTAATGAGAAAAAAACAAACACTCTAACCCTCAGGTGCACTATGCAACTTCTGACACAAACAAATATAATGATGGTCCTTCATATGAAAAATTAAGTAGGTGCAGACACGTCTATTTCTCCTGCAGGTTAGACAGTAGAATGTTGATCTAGGACAGTTAGTATGGCTGCCTTTCACTACATTCAAAACAAGCCTCATGTCAACCTTGTTTATGATTTCTATGTTTTCCTCTGTCTATCTTGCCCTCATGTTTGAGGTGTGAGTCACAGAGCAGATACGAGTGTAGATGGCAGCAGAAACACGAGCATGAAGGACACTGTTATAGTACTGTTATAGCCACATCATTATATCCGTATTAGCAGGGGAACCCCTTCACGCTCTAACACCTAAATGCCTTCTCTGCGTGCTATCTCACTAATTTGATGCCTGTTCACAGTCATGTCTCTTGTGTGCACATTTGTCCTATCCATACCTTGACAGATCATGCATGACACACATATATATGAACTGCCATGTATAAGATTATGCAAGGCAAGTATCAACCCTATGTTGAGTCTATAGGGCCAGACTAATGCAAACATGTTGTTTGCAAATATTTGTTTTGTATCTTTCATATTTGGCAAAACCTCTTAAATTAAATGTTTATATTAGACAGATAGATACAGTAAAATTGCATAAATATATATATATTTTTTCTATGGTGTATATAGGCGTTTTCCAGTTAAAGTTTACTATAATGTCCAAAATGCTAGGAAAGTGTAACCATTGGCAACAAATTAATTCCCATTGTTGGCCTTTTTAACTGAGGAAATCTAAATTGACATACTAAAATCCATAGCAGTTGCACTTCCCAAATGTAAATTTACCTGGGGGAAAGCAATTGAAGGCAAATGAAAGACTTGGCATTTTGGGGGTGTACTAATCACACACTCATATATTGTTACTGTTATGTGGAAAAGGTTGTGTTTTAGTGTGTTTGATGGCACTCTCTGGCTGCAACTGTGACGTTAGTGCAGTGGAACATTTTAGCTCTGCTTTGGGACAAGGCCCATGGTGAAACTGCTTTTGAGCCTCAACATGTAGTTCATTTAGGTGTGTCTGTGCAAGTTTGAATTTTGTTAGCAGATGAAATTAGATTAAATTCATCATTTGTGAAAAATACAATAAAAAAAAGTAACTGTTGCTTTTTCCTCTTGTCAATGCCTCATGCTACAAGGGTTAGTTTTTTTCTACCCAGTTTTGATTTTGCATGAGCTTGTTGTTGACTCCTCTTTCTCTGTGCCACCAAAACATATATCAGATTCAATCAACTTTTATACTCTACAAATTGTTAGTGTGCTTTCTGCAGAGGGTAGATTATGAGGCTGAAGACTGCAGAAACACAAACAAACAGGCATGTAGATGAACAAGCCAGAGCGCATGTCCACAACACGCCTGTCCTCATCAGACAGGACACACGAACCCTCTGAACCGTGACATGTAATTGGCACACAGGCAATGGGAGAGGGCCAGGCTAATGATACAGAGCAAACTAATGGGGAGGAGAACTCCTATCAGCAGATATCTGCCACGTTCTGATGTATACAGACTTTGTTTTGTTGAGACTTTGTCTCATTAAGAATTATGATGAGTTGAGTGTCAGAAATGAGGAAGGATGGCATTTGCACAATGAAGTCAGCCGAATACAGCTTAAATCACCTTTAGTAAAATAGGCTACTAAAAATGGCATCTCATTTTGTTATGTTCTGAGTGGTCATGGCAAAACAAGGAAATGAGTTATCAAATATTTGCATATAAACTTAATTTTCTCTTCTTAATATTACTGATTTTATTAAATGACCTTATACGTGCAATGTTGCCTTTCTATGTCATGCAGTCCAGAGTACATCCCATTTAAAATTATTATTTTATATTATATGTATAATATGTACTAGTAGTTGTTGCAGAATGACACAATATCTCTTCTGCTGTGCTTGTTTGTCCTGACATTTATCAGTCTTCAGCCCTTTTGTGCCTTGTCCATCCCTCTTTGTTTCCCCCTGTCCATTCTATGACCCTTGACCTCGTCACCTCTGCATCTGTAGACCCTTTGGCTGTAGGTGGGTGCAGCGAGTCTGGCTCTGGGTGGGAACCTGTCAATCACCACTCATACACAAACACACACACACATGTGCGGTGTTGTTGTGTGAGTGGGGTGTGAAGGTGGCTGTCACGCTGTCTGAGGATCATATGCTGCCTGTCAGACATGCTGTAAAGTAACTGACACACTACTTTCCAAACAAATGCATTCTGGTCTACAAGCAAAAGAGGAGGTAAAACTGAGCAATAAAATGTAATACTTTACGTGATTACTTTACATGATCTTAATGAATGAATGAAGCCTTAATGCCTTATGGAATATACACACATGCTTTGTTGCAACAGGCTACTGGAAAACTAATGTGTGTACTCTCAAATGACCAAATTTATACATTTTCTTGGAGAAGCATTTGAAAAAAACTTCTCCAAGGCATTACAGGTATAACATGCATCACACTTATCAAAATCACAATTTCAGTGGACACAGTTAGCAAATCCCAAAGGCTGGAAAGTAAGTAACATAATTTAAAGTATCCTGTTTTTTTTGTATAAAAACTTGTGTAAGCATGTTCTGAAATACATGTGGTTTTGTCAGTTGATACATGTGCTTGTCAAATGATATTTCATTTTGTCTGTTCATTTAAAATGTGAACTTTGAACAGAATCCTATTACTAAAACATAAATTAAATAAGTAAGTAAGTATTAAAGTATCCGTTTAAAATATACTTAGAGAAAAAAATTTAGTATTTCGTGCAGATTTTGAGATCTAATAAAACTTCAAATGTTTTGTTGATTTGTGCTGAATTTTGTTCCACAGAAAGAGCTGAAGAGCCACTTTTTATTGTAGCTTTTTAAATGTGTTTATTTATTGTTATATTTTGGTTTATTTAAATTATGAACATGTTCAAAATAAACCCCCAGTCTTTTCTGCAGGTCTCAAACAGTAAGACTTTTACTTTTCAGTCCTGTTTAAAAATGTAGTGGAGTAGAAAGTACAGATTCCTTCTCTCAAATGTAGGGAAGTAGAAGTAAAATGTGTCCACTTTAAAATGTAATAAAAGTAAGTAACGTACAGATACCTAAAAATTGTACTTTGTTATGTTCCACCACTGGTTATTACATTCACTATTTAAGAAGACTTGTTTGTATAGCGTATCAAATCTGTTGAATGGAAAATAAATAATAATTAAATAATAATTATAATGTAAAATGTAAAATTCACACTAAAACTGTGTTCTATTTGTTTGTGTAGCCTGATGCAAATTGAAGACATGCTGCTTGGTGAATATTTCCTGACTTGGTGGATATTTCTGCCATAGCATTTTGTGGCCTTTCAAAGGTGAAGGTCTTATTTTCTCTGTCCTCAGTCTGTCCAGGTAAATAACACATCACACACCACTGAAGCCACATCGATCCCAAGCGCCACATCTCCCATCCTTGCTCTCCATTGATCTCTTCTCTCGTCCTCTGTGTAACTTCATACACTAAGCTCTGTGCGTATCTCTCATATGTCCAGTGAGACAGAGGCGCGCAGCTGTCGTTTCAGGTTAGTGCTGTTGAGAGGTGGGTTAGATGCTGGAGGATGAATGAATAAGTGAAGACTGAAGACCGCTAGATTCATGTTAAATGTAGAAAGGCTAAAGGAGCGTAGACATGTGTGAGTGACGCGTTACAGCACTGAGAGAGAGTGTGAGTATGATTGTACATGAGCACTTGAGAAGACCAGCTCCCTCTGTCCTGCTGAGCCGCCAATTAGAACACATCACTTGAGCGGTAGATGCTCACATACACAAACACACACCGAGGACCCCAGAGAGAGCCCTGGAACCTGCCTGTCAGCTGCTATTAGATCACACTGCAGTGCACCCACACTGCTGCCCGCACACACTCAAACTAACTTAAGATGAATGAATGGGCCAAAATGAACAAAAGTCTAACATTTAAATTCACTCTAAGTTCTTTAAAAAAAACTGACCCTAGTAATCTAAAGATCCATATTGGTTTGTGCTGAATTAGGCAATACTCAGCAGTGTCACATCTTTTGTTCTTGTTCATATTTTCATAACATCATAAATAATTCTCAGTCAAGAACAGCTTTTTGAAGGATCATGGCAATGCTAAAAACATAGTGGATGAAACAAGTTCACAGTTACATGCAGTGCACGGTGGCTGAGTGACTAGCATTCATGCTTCACAGGTAGTTCTGACCAAGCCAAGGAACAAGGTCACAGAGATGGGTCCCTGGGTGCATCACTGTGTTGCCCACTGCTCCTGATGAGGTGCCCCAATAGCATTGAAGGATGGGTCAAATGCAGAGAACAAATTTCCTATGGGGACAATAAAGTATACCTTAATAAAGTTAACCTTAACTTAAAAGTCATACATGTGGCAAAACAAAAAAAAAATCTAATTGAAAACGGAAAAAATGATATATTCAAATAAACTTAATAACAAATCCTGTACCTCTATCTTCTTTGATTTAGTCAACAGAAAGTATAAATGTGCTTGGCAGAATGATCTTGCTGTATTAATTATTATATATCAATAAAATTATAATTATCAATGCAAACCTTTGTTTATTGTGGCCTTGTAATGAACAACAGTTTAACTGAGTCTTGACATTTGAGTCTGGACTGAATGCAAAGTAGGCAGAGATAAAAGTTTAATGAGTGTCTTTTTGGCAGATGGCTTTAGCCTGCAACTCATTTTTGAATGCAATTTCTGAATAAACAAATTAGTTTAAGCAAGGGAGTTAATTGTAATCTCTTATTTATACACATTTACTAGACCACTGGTTTTTAAAACAGGGCACTGTGTGGGCAAAAGCACATCTTCTGAAGACAAATTGATGCTAGGGTGCAGTGGGAGAAGGCGGAGATGCCAGGGAGAGACATGTATGATGAAAGGACCTCAGTGTGTCTGCTCAGGAGGAAGATCGTCCTTGCTTGTTGTTAAATGATTTCTTCTGGTTCAACTCCTTCTCCAATATCAGTCCAGATAGATCACTGAGAGATCACATAGGAACAAAACTAAGGCTGCAGGGTGACCCTGTTCTCTGGGTCACCTTAGCATACAACTCAGAAAATCCACCTGTCTCTGCCATTCCAATTACTTTCTGGGTTGTTAGTAAGTGCTGTAGCCTTCTCAGTTCTCATCTTACCTTTAAATTTTTTTCTTATAGACCCAAAGAATATGTACCTTTTTACCTATACTTGTCACTAGATGGGGCTGTGATACTACTGCTTGGTCAGTGAGCTGGTCATTCATAGCTGAAGCTGCACTGTGGGTGAACTCAGCAAGAGCTCCAATTTACCAAGTCAGTAACAATAAGACCAACCTTTCTGAAGCGGGATATTTTAGCTGTACTGTAATTACAGTTAAACCTTAGCCTATTGCACTGCATGGGATTTTTAAGCCATTCTCGCTCATAATGCTTTAGACGCTGAGGTTTACCAGGCATTAGGATTAGTGTGTCCATAGTGTGCATTGTCTTGTAAAATATATAATTTACATTTCCCATATAACTTTACATTGCACATTATATAAAGATCACTTTTCATCTATATTTTTTAAATAATAATTCTAATATCTTAAACAAATGAGCCACTGTCCAATGTGGTTTTGATTCATATAGAACGTGTAATTCGTTTGTATGCATTGGTGAAAAAGAAAATCATTTAATATTTGAGATAACTAACAACATATTATCTCTACATCCCCCCTCCCCTTCACAAATATTATGAGCATGTGAGAAGAACCTCTTGCTAGTGATTAGTGACTAAATTATGGGAACATATATGCCTGAAAATACAAAAAAAAAAAAAAAAAAAGTGGCAGCAACTGCTTCTTATGGACATAAACCTATGCACAGCATTTCTTATTTTGTAACCTTTGTGTGTGAACTTTTTACTACATAAGTTTCAGTGAGACAGAGATCTACGCCTAGGCCTATATATTATTAGCATGAAGTAGCCTATATAGCCTAACTGTAACAAATGTGCAAGCATGTGCACACTGCAAATGAAACTGATTTCCATAAGTGCATAAAACCCCATCATAGGGAAGACTTGGAGAACAGACTTAGGGAAATGACATGCAAATCAACTGACAATTTTACATTTTCAGGCATGATTTGCTGACAGTTATTGTTTTGACCTAGCTCCTCAGTTGACAAAAGAAACCTGCTCCCTCTGAGGAGCAGGAAATCAGCCTTTCGAGAGCTCTTATGTTTGAAGAGTGGAGGGCAAGGCAGACTGTGATTGCTGCTCTTGGCAGAGGGGATCAGAGATGGGATTTCCCTCAAAAAAAGAAAAAGAGTGAAGGCCATAGCATATTTTGTCCATGACTTGTGACATTTGAATAAAAAAATCGATTTTTTTTTGTGTTTTTAGAAGAACTAATTGTAAAGTAATGTACATTTATGACAATAAGCACATTTGTATGACCCATTTCATTCATCTCCGTCTACATTTGTCTATGTGATGTGCGCATCTATGGACGGGGATTGGTGATGCGGAGACAAAAAGAGAAAGTCCCTTTGCGGTAAGTGCTTGAAGATGGGGGTTAATGTAGGTTAGAATTTACTTGTCCAAGTGTTATTCTGAATATATTTCTAACCTAGCGTACATTTTCTCCACTCGAGATAATTTTGAATGATATTAAAACTAACAAATAAGCCTTGATTTGTGATAGTTTCTGTCCTATCACAGGCCGGTGCGAGGGAAACATCCCGCCCACAAACTGGTTCTTCTAAAAAGAACGTCATCAGCTTCATACATTTAGCTTTAGCCAGAATTAGCTACGTTAGGTGTGAAAATCAATCACAGATATCCCTCTTTCAGCATTCGTTTTAATCCATGAGTTACAGACCGGACAAAGACTTAGTAAACGAAGGTCACGGGGCTTTAGTATCCAATATGTACACTAAACCTTTATTCCAGTGCAGAGACATGCTGAAAGGAGAACTAGCGTCATTTGTGTGAAATGCTGGCTAGCTTAATAAATGCTAGCTAACTAGCAAGGGTCGAGAGGCGAAAGTGGCTACGTTAACAATTGTTGAGCCTTTCGACACCATTCACTGGTCTTAAGTTAATATACGTGTTCTCGGACGCATAGAAAAACGTGTTGATAGGCTTTACGCGCAAAGTAAGTAAATTCATTTGCTAATTAGCGGCTAACATTATGACTCCCCGAACTAGTGGCAGCTAACGCTACTACGAAGTTATTTCAGTTTAACTAGACATGTGTAAAGTTACACGTGTTAATGTTTTTAAAGGTCTTTGGTTTAGTCTACAGTAAGATTCGTCTCTTAACGCTTTTCTTTCAGGCTGTGAGTTCAATTTGATTAACGTTTATTTCCTGTCGCTGTTTCAAGTGGCTTCATTATAAAGGTAACTGTTAGCTAGCTTGTTTGAAGGCGATTGTTTGTAAGTAAGACATAAACACCTAATGTGAGGTAATATACTTCAGTATGATGTTTTCATTTTGTTAGCTATGTGCGGTTTTACGTTGTACAATACAGTGCCATGGGTCGTCGAGACTTGTCAGGTGTCATATGCAACAGGTGCAACTCACACTCGCACGTCAGAATAACCAAACAACCTGGAGTAATAATGACACCACACATCAAAGACGTGCTGAAGCATAATATACTAGCCTCATTGTTATCTGTCTATTAGCTGACGTGAGTGGACTTGCCTTGTAACACACAAGTACTGTCTATTCATGTCACTGTAATCCAGTAAATGAGGGAGTACCTTGATAGTGAAATCCAGCATTAGCCTGTCTCCATAGCCAAACCCTCAGCTCCAGTTTGTGTCATCCTTCTTTTAAAATAGCTGTATAAGCTGTTTATTTGAGAGTTTTAAACAAAATTTATATCCACTATATGTACACTTAAATGAGTCAAGTAAAAGTGTACTGCACTCAGTTGTCAGTTCATGGCAGACTCCAGTTTTGTCTAGCAACCTCTTCACTGTTCTAATGCTAGTGAGTTGAGGATGGTTTGGAGATCTTGTTCCAGGAAATTCTTTGATGATCTGCAGTGCTGAGTCACTGTATAAAGAAACCTGTTCCACCCTTTAGTACTGTCCATCTGGCTCACATTGCACTTCATACCTAAAATATGGGATTTGCTGGTGATTTTTTTTACATTATCTGAGAGAACATCTTTAATACTCCTCCTCTGTTTTTGTCCCTCACAGAGAGCATAAGTCTCTGGAGACGGAGCAATGGGGGCATTCCTGGACAAGCCAAAGACACAAAAGCACAACTCTCATGGGGAGGGAAATGGCCTACGCTATGGGCTCAGCTCCATGCAGGGCTGGAGAGTGGAGATGGAGGATGCTCACACAGCTGTTCTGGGACTTCCTTCTCCTAGTATGAAGGACTGGTCTTTCTTTGCTGTTTACGATGGCCACGCTGGCTCCAAAGTTGCTAACTACTGTTCCAAACATCTCCTGGAGCACATCATCAGCGCCAGCTTCGGGCTGCAGAGTGATGGCACTGGCAGTGAGCCTACTGTGGTGGTGCCGCCCTCAATAGAAGCTGTAAAGGCAGGAATCAGGACTGGCTTCTTGAAGATTGATGAACATATGAGGAGTTTTTCTGATCTGAGAAATGGTATGGACCGCAGTGGCTCCACAGCTGTGGGCATCCTCATCTCACCAGATCATTTCTTTTTTTTAAATTGTGGAGATTCACGTGCTGTTCTTTATCGCAACTCTAATGTGTGCTTTTCAACGCTTGACCACAAGCCTGGTAACCCTCGAGAAAAAGAGCGCATCCAGAATGCAGGGGGTACAGTTATGATCCAGAGGGTGAACGGGTCATTGGCAGTGTCCAGAGCTTTGGGGGACTATGACTATAAGAATGTGGATGGCAAGGGCCCCACAGAGCAGCTGGTCAGCCCTGAACCAGAAGTATTTGAAATGGTGCGTGCCCCAGAACAGGACCAGTTTGTGATCTTGGCATGTGATGGCATCTGGGATGTCATGTCCAACGAAGACCTATGTGTTTTTGTAAAATCCAGACTTGAGGTGACCAGTGATTTGGAACGAGTGTGCAATGAAGTGGTGGATACTTGTCTTCACATGGTATGGACACATTATACTCTAAAATAGATTTGTTTAATGTAAACCATCCCAGTTAACTATATTGTTTCAAAATGGTCCTAAAACACAATTTTGTGGGATAGTACAATGATTATTTTCTGTGTTGTTGGCCCTAGGGAAGTCGAGATAATATGAGTGTGGTGCTGGTATGTTTGACAAATGCCCCTAAAGTCTCCGAAGAAGCTGTGAGGAAAGATGCTGAACTCAACAAGTACCTGGAGTCTCAAGTTGAAGGTACAAACACTGTCAAAAGTAACAGTGGTTAAATACATGTATTTCTACCAGAGCCTCTAAAGTTATCAGACTAAACAGAGAGCACATGAATGGAGAAACTTTTTTTGTGGTTTGGGGATTTGCAGTGACTGTGCTATACAGTTTATCATTTTGCTCTTGACTTGCTCTTATTCTCATCTATTATATTATAAGGCTTAAACACGCCCCTCTAGCTCTTGCGTTAAATCGATCATGACCTGATTTTATATTCCACTGCAACTCACTGTCTTATACTTTATATTCCAGTTTTCTTTGATATATTTAAAATTAGAAGTGACACTCGCACTCCGTTCATGTTCTAATTTCTATTTTTTGCTACATAGGCCTGGTCAGCAACAATTTGAGTCTCCAGTGATCAATGATCCACTTTGAGCATTTGAACTGAGGGGTTTAAAATGTTTTTTCAGAGATGATGTCCCAGCCTGGTGAGGATGGCTATCCTGACTTGGCAACCGTGATGAGGAACCTTTCTACTGACAACAACATGCCGCCTCTACCGCCAGGAGGAGGCCTCGCCAGCAAGTAAGTTATGACTATGTCTCCTGCCATTGATTGATTTTTCATTCACACTCGTCTTTACATGAAATGCTTGGGAGTTGATATAAGAAAAAAAAAAGTTTTAAAAAAATTGTTTTTTTTTGTTTGTTTGCTTTTTTTGCAGGCACGGTGTTATTGAAGCAGTATACAACAGTATGAACCCATACAGGGAGGAAGATGGGGTGAGCATTTATTTAATACATGTTAAAATATTGATCTAAATGTGCTAGCTTTTGAGAATTAAACAGACACACAACCTGTTTTGAAAGTCTTGGGACATAGACACATTCTAAGAATGCAACATTTCAGACTTTCTGATCATATATGTTGGAAGTAAAGCTGACCTTGTACTGTTTTTTTATTTGCATGGTGTTTGATACATGTCTTGCTAATTTCCACATAAGAAGTGCATGTCACACTTTGAAACCACTGTAAACATCTAGTTTACAACATGGTTACATCTACAGCAGAGCTGTGGTGCATGTGTGGTCCTGTGATGTTGCTGTGACTTGTTGGTACACTATAGGGACAGTTTTTATTTATTTTCGTTGATGGATTCGTATATTGTTCCCAAAATACAGACCAATACAAAAGCTTAATTGGCTCATGGGAATTCTGTTAGCAAATGTTACATTGGTTTTGTACAATATAGGATAGTGCTTAGGAGTATTTAAGACATAATTATAATATATATATTGATAAGGGATGTCTAACTGTGTGTTCAACCTCTAATTAACGCAGCCCTCCTGTTTCATTTGGTAAGTGAGAGCATATATAAGTGTGAAATCCCTTCCTCTTTTTCCTATCCTCATCAGAAACACAGACAACCATACACACAGAACATAGTCCTCTAGGCATGTCAGTGCCCCCCTCACCACATACTCTACTCCCCCTGTCTCTCCTTCATCAGCCCTGCTCCCTGCTCTGACCCACTCTCTAGCTCTTAAGCATGTAGATCCATTCAGAGTCAAAGGTGTGTGTCTTTGGGTCAGATGAGGCCGAGTGGTTGTTTCTGCTCCTGTCTGTTGTTTAGCACATCACTCACACACAGACGCGCATGCACCGGTCCCACTCGCATGCAGTTCACCCAAGTGCCTGCAGCTGTACAGCAGCCTGTTTATGTCGAGCCCTTCACAAAGACCAGTGGAGTGGTCATGTGCCCAAACAGTTACAAACAGAGATACTCCTATCATAAGAACACTAACGGTTTCCAGTGTTTGGTTTTTTTTGTTGTTGTTTTTTTTTAGGAAAAAATGGTGTTAAGTACAACATATGGAAGACGTCAATGTATTTTAGTAAACTATGTATTTAGTAACACAAATCTATTTCTGCCCCCCTCTCCGTGTGTTTATTTTTCAGATGGGAGGTGATATGGACTACCAGTGGTAGCTGTCCAGCAGACCCGCCCAATTTTACCAAAAATAGGACCATTTTTCAATTCAAGATCACATCTGTCAACTCGAGGTTTTTCAACTATACATGGTGACATCTAAGGAGTACACAATGATTTTAAATTGTGTGATTTAAAAATATGAAAATCAATTGTCTTTGAAAATAAAAGCTACAGGAACATCAGATGTGAAGCACAATTTGAGCTGTTAGCAGCCCTGCTCCACACAAATGCTTATCCTAAGGTGCCTTGTTCAAAGATGGGAGCACATTTAAACTCATTTGTCCAGCTCACAATGAACCAAACGTCACTGCTGAATACTGAAGACACTGAACTGTTGAATTGCACATGGCACACATGACAACTTCAACATTGCTAGAATGCTATCATTCCAGTCCAGTTATTGGTACATGAGAGGGTAATAAGCTGCCCTTCTGACTAGAAATTGCCATTTTAAAGCTTCCAATATCCATATACTTTATACTAATACTTACTCAATATCTTGTTAGCTAGAACATCAACACAGTTCCTATTCAAGTGAGTTGTGTCCATTGCACGTTTCTCAACTCTTACTCAAGAACCTTACAATTGTTCTTTTCCTTCTAAGTGCTATAGCCATGTGCATCAGCTCGCCAGAATCCTAAGCTTTTGAAGCTGCTGATATTGTAGACAAAGAGAAATATAAATATAATAAATATAATATATATATAATATAGTATATATATATATATATATATATATATATATATATATATATATATATATATATATATATATATATATATATATATATATATATATATATATATATATATATAGTTATATATATATATAGTTATATATAGTTATATATATAGTTATATATATATATATATATATATAGTTATATATATATATATATATAGTATATATATATAGTATATATATATAGTTATATATATATATAGTATATATATATAGTTATATATTTTGAGTTTTTACTCCCACTAGTATTCATAATTCTAATGTGTGTGTGCTGTGGTTTTATGTGTTTGAAATGAACGAACTGACAAAACACACACATTACACAGTGGTGTGTTCCAAAGAGTTTGGGGTTTGCCTCCTCTTCCCCTTTTCATCCCTTCACATGCACACAAAATACTTTCAATGACTACATGCCTTTATTAGCCCTCAGATTTGTTATAGTTGTGTCCTGGCTTTTCATTTGTAGAAAGTGAGTGTCATAGGAAACAGAGGGAAAAGCCTGATTAACCCTAGCTATAAGCTTTGCCTTAATTAAAATACACTGGTCTAACCATTAAGTGCATAGTAGGTGTATTAAGTCTAAGTTTATGTATACCAGTGTAACCTTTATTAATCACTGAATTATTCAGTAGAAAGTCTACTGGGCGTTGCAGAATTGACTGAAAATTTGTTTATTAGATCACTGGCTGGTTTTGTGGTACATTCTTCATAGTGCCATATAAGGAACAGGTACTTGAATTTGTAGTTATTTTGCCTTTGCAATATTTTATGGGGATGCTTTTTTGTGTCTGGGATGGGGTGATTATTTGTAAATGTGCATGTTTTGAGAATGGATTGTAATGGAATACAGAATTTCTGTGTGGCCAAAATATGACAAAAAAAATGCTTTACTAAACAATATTACTCAGACTGTGAGCTGATCTCAAATATTCCTTTTTAAAATGTTTAATTTGAAAAAGCTGTCTCACAAATAACTTTGAGAATCTTTTTAATCAAATGCACTGAGTTTGGACTAGAATATTAAGCTATACCAAACACTGGGTTAAGATCGACTGAGAGGGGATTAACAGACGAGACTTTTTACATTCTTGAAATTCACTTTTATTTACACTGCATGGACTGAATATACACAGCACTACTTTCCTAGTCATTTAATGGCACCAGAAAGCTCTTTGACCCCTTTGTTTCAGAAAATATTGTGTTTGACTGTTGTTCTGATGGAATTAAACTTTGACTCAAAAAATTATTTTTTTGTCTGTTACTCTTTTGTGGGTAGCCATAGTAAACCAATTAAGATTATGGTGGTTTCAGAAAGAGCATCTAACAACTCTTATCTGTGCAATTGACTGTATAGTGTTGTTGACAGTTAAAGTTTGCACAGTTATGCAAGAAGGAAATAAGTGGTGTTGAGTTAAGAAAATTGGTGTTAATTTCTTGGTAGTCAAAGGAGCAAAGCAGAGAAAATGGCTTTGTGGGGCAGGCCCAGGCAGGGCAGTTTTAAAAAATGCCACTTTGATTTTCTCTTTAATCTGAACATAGATTATAATTTATTCAGTGTAATTCAAATACCACTTTCTTTTAATTAATCTTTTAAAGTGAGACACTGATTAAAAGTATTTCATGAATGAAAAGTCACTGGGAACAAGCAACAACCAAGTCTAATCTTTGGTGCTCTCTCCGAACTCTCCAGTTTCCCACATTCCACAAGTGGCAACTCTGAGCTCTGATGGGGAGGGCCTGTGGAGGAGGAGAACTCTGACCCTCTCCAAGCAGATAGATTACTCAGTCTCTCACATAGACACCCTGCAGGTCTTGGCCACACACACATTGGCTGTATTATACATCAGCATGGAGGTAGGCAGCAGAAACCCAGCATTTCAGGAAGATGAGGAGACAGACCCACAGGTTCAGATCACCAGGTTTGATTTGGAGGAGAAATGCGACTCTGTGAAACTGGATGCAGATGAGTACACCCAGATCAAGCCGTACGCTGGGATGCCTAAGGAGGTGCTGCTCCTGTACTCCTCTCAGGCTCGCTACAAGGTTCTCAGAGAGGTCCTCTTCTGGTTGACTGTGGCTTGCACTGTGGCTCTTGTGGCTCTGACCATCACAGTTATCGCTCTGTCTCCACGCTGCCTTAGCTGGTGGCAGATGTCCCCAGTCTACCAGATCTACCCCCGCTCATTTAAGGATTCTAATGGTGATGGGGTTGGAGACCTCAAAGGTAAGACAAAAAAGGCAATAGCATAGATACAGTGCAATAATAATATAATAATACTTGTATACCTTTGAACAGATACTTCAGAGCTTTCATTGTTTTGTCAATTTGTGTCACAAGGTATTCTTGAGCAATTGGATCACTTTCAATACCTCAACATTAAAGCTATTTGGATCAGCCCTTTCTATCGTTCTCCAATGAAGGATTTTGGGTATGATGTGGAAGATTTCCGTGACATTGATCCTCTATTTGGAACCATGCAGGACTTTGAAGAACTACTGGCTGAAATGCACAAGAGAGGTTTGTGATTGTGGAAAAACAGAACTGTTATAAATCTACAAATATTATTAATGTCTCCTTCTTTTTATATATATATATATATATATATATATATATATATATATATATATATATATATATATATATATATAATTTTAGATTTGAAACTGATCATGGACTTTATTCCCAACCACACCAGTGATAAACATCTTTGGTTTAACCTCAGTCGATCACGTGATGAAAAATACAAAGATTATTATGTCTGGACTGACTGCAATGCATCCAACCCAAAGCCCAATAACTGGGTGAGTTTTCTGGGCCTTTTACCTCTGCTTCTGTTGCAGTCTGCTGTCTGTTCTTTAATTAATGCCTTTTTCTATGGTAGGTGAGTATTTTTGGAAACTCATCATGGACCTATGATGAAGTTCGAGGGCAGTGCTACTATCACCAGTTTCTTAAGGAGCAGCCAGATCTAAACTTCAGAAACCCAGATGTTCGAAGAGAAATAAGTGTGAGTATACAGACATCAGTCACTTTTGTGACAAACTGTATACTAAAGGTTTGAGGTTTGTTTGTCCATATTTAAAGGACCTGATTCACTTCTGGCTGGAGAAGGGGGTGGATGGCTTCAGGATGGATGCTGTGAAGCACATTCTTGAAGCTGAACATTTAAGAGATGAGCAACAAGTGGATCCTAACAAGCCACCTGTAAGTAAACTTACAAAAGTAATAGTACATACACCTGGTCTGATCGGATCTAATACATTTACCACAAGTATGTAGTGTTTCTTTGCTTTCTTAAGAAATTTATTGTTGTTTACAATCAGTTACTTATATAACAAGAATGTTATCAGAGCACAAAGCTCAAAGTTCAACCTTTTAACAATCCTGTTACTGTTTAAACATCTTGTATAGATTTATAGCTGTTTTATTTGTTATAAAATTATAACACTGGTCAAAATTTTCTTGATAAATCACATGTGTCAGCGCATCATTTATTTGTGTCAGGTGAATGTACAGGGTTGTGTTAGTAAAAGATTAAAATGTTAAAACATAATGTTACTAAACAAACTCTTACAGTTTTTCTTACAGCAATGATTCATGTTGCCAACAAAATTGTTAAACCCTTTGAAACTGTAAAAATGTGTAAGAACACAGTAAAGTTGTTAAATGTCTTTTGTAACACAGAGTTAATTCACGTCTTTATTGGTATTAGGCTAAATCATCTACTTAGTGTAGCCTACAAAAGAATTTTAACCCATTACAATCCACTGGTCACAATTGTGACCATCAAAAAAAACTGTACTTTGAAGCTCTAATTTTGTTACTTATATTATATTATATTATATTATATTTTTATGCATTTTCAATATTTTCTGAAAGAATAAAATACTGGAATGAAATATGTGTAATATCACATGTTTACAGCAAATTGTCACATGACCAGAGATAATTATGAGATGGAAAACATGTTGGTGGTTACAACTGTAACTGGTGGGATAGAACGTTGTACCATAGTATAGGGCATTATACAGTATATAAGAGCTCAAATATTTCATAGAATAAATGTGTTATGGATCTCTCAACTTTTTAAAGTGGTTTATGTCCACCCTGAAGGAAATTCATTATATGTTGGATGAAGGTGATGGTCCCATAAAGGCCCGGAACTAAGTAATTGTCCTTATTAAAATAAAACTTGGCGTCTTGTTGATATTGATTGGCTATATATACAGATATACAGTGGACTGTGAGGGAAGGATTTTCACCAGGTTGTTTAATACACCATACTGAGTCAGGTGAGAATAATGTCCACCATTAGCACCACCCCTTCTCCATTACCTTCATCTATTGAAAAGCTAAGGTCACCTAGCTGCTATAGCGACATGTCTGAAGAATAACCAAGCTCATGTAGCTGCATGAGAGACAAGTCTGAGGACCATCCAAAGTCCTCTATAGAGAAAAATCTGAGAGTATTAGCCCACTGGTCAAATGAGTGAATGTGACCATAAAACTCTCTTTTTCATGCACTTTTTCACAATTTTCATAAATGAATCATGTCAAAGTATTACAGATGGCGCATGGATTCATAATTTAATTTCTGTGAAAAATGTAAATGATTTGATATAAATAAATAAATTATAGTAGTTATTTCCAGTCCTCCATCATTTATTTAAAGGACTGATGTTTAATTGCCATAGGCTCAATGGGTCACGTTCTTCTGATTCTACTGAACAAAGAGATCATTATTTCACCTGTATTATGTATATTCTTTGTCCATCTGAACTGACCACTTAAACGCAGTTTTGTGTACAAACACATTCTAAACAAACTGAATATCATATTTATGTTAGGAGGAAGTAACCACTGAGTGGGATCTACACCATGACTTCACCACCACTCAGATCGGTTTGCATGACTTGCTGAGAGAGTGGAGGGCTGAGATGGACATCTACAGCAGAGAGCCTGGAAGATACCGGTATAAGCCTTAGCTAGTTTACAGCATTGTTTTATATAAATGATACATGGTATATTCAGGAACATCTCTATTAATTCTAGGTTCTTGGTAACTGAATCATATGATTACCATGAAGTGGAAAAGACCATGATGTACTACAGCACACCACTGGTTAAAGAGAGTGATATTCCCTTTAATTTTTACCTGCTGGATTTGCCCCAAAATACCAGTGGCCTGTGGACAAAACATCTTGTTGACCTGTGGATGTCCAACATGCCAAAAGGGCAGTGGGCAAACTGGGTGGTGAGTCAGATTTCATTTATCCTATATTGAGTTGTCTCCGCCCAGTTTGGCTTCCCACAATGCTAAAGCAAACAATATATGTACAGGTGAATTGAGCATGGTGTTTATAAGCCAAACATGAGAATATAGGCAATTAATGTTTTGAATTATTCTATACAAAATTTAGGTTGGAAATCACGACAAGCCTCGCATTTCAACCAGTGTTGGCATCTCTTATGTTCCTGCTATCAACATGCTGCTGCTAACTTTACCGGGGACACCAACTACCTATTATGGTGAGGAGATTGGTATGGAAAACATCAACATTACACAAGATCAGGTACAGGACCCTGCTGGCAGATACAATGTGGTAAGAATAGTAGATTAAGTCAATACTATTTAAATAATTGGATAATACATAATTTAATAATTTTATGTATAATGTATTTTAACAGAGCCTTAGTCGAGATCCCCAAAGGTCCCCAATGCAGTGGAGTGATGGCATGAATGCAGGTTTTAATCCCAAAACCAATCTCACATGGTTGCCAGTACATCCACACTACAAAACAGTCAATGTTGAGGTAAAGAAATCTCTTAAGTAACAAATACCATATAATTTATTTGTAGCCAACAGTCTGTCTTTTTTCCTCCTTAGGCCCAGATGAAAGATGAGAGCTCTGTTCTTGCTCAATATCGTAATCTAAATACACTGCGTGAGTCTGAGCTGCCTCTTCACCGGGGTTGGTTCTGCTACATACACACTGATGCCAGTGTGTTCTCCTATCTCAGAGAGCTGGATGGCCTCAACAGGGCTTTTTTAGTGGTCCTTAACTTTGGTAAAGAAGCTGCTGTCACAAATCTCTCCAATATAAAGGAGTTACCAAGTCAGCTCAATGTTTTGATGAGCACAGTACATATGAACAATGGTAAAAGCATGTCCAAATCTGAAATCAAGACTAAAGCAGGCGAGGGTCTGCTGATTCAGTTCTCCAGTAAAATTAAGTTTAACCAAGACCACGAAGATCAGTGCTACATCTCTGAAAAAGCTTGTTATCTAGGGGCAATGGGCATTCTTTACAAATGTTAATTCAGAAAATAAATGATCATTGTCACTGTTTGGCATTCAAGTATAATAAAATCATACTATTTCTTGTGCTTCACATTGCTTTATGCTACCTCTGTTTCTTGCGTAAATGACGAGGAGGGTCTAGCCCCAGCTCTGTGTACAGAAATGCAAGCTCAAGGGCATCCTGGAAAAGAAAGACATTCTTATATTGGTATTGTTATTATCTTGCACTCTATTTATACATCCTGATTAAATAAATACTATAAATGCAGTTGTTACCTCATTCACCATCAAGTCAAAGTCTTCTTGTCCATGATGATTTGCTCCTGGTTGAATGTTCAGAATAATATTTGGCTTATGTCCACATTCTGAAAAGAAGTGATGAGCACAGATCAGAAGTATTACCTTTAGCTGCCTTCTATTGTTCAGTCAATCTTATATTATAATATCCTTCAAACAATATTAACTTTTTAAAAATTTGATCTTCGTTATGGTTCCCTCCTTTGACCCCTAACCAATGAAGACAAGGAACCAAATACATTGACACATTTAGCCATCTCTCATAGGTAATAGGTATTTATTATAAATGATTTTGCTTGTTAATTTTTGCTTTGTTAATTTTGAATGCACAAGTTTCTTACAGTCACAATAAATATATGTTACTTATTTCAACTGTCAGAAGCAACATCCCTGATCAGTGTTAACCAAAAAGACATGACGGAGGACAAGAAATACTGCTCAACTACTTTATAATGCCTCTTCCACTAAAAATAATCTTGATATACTGTATTACCACCACTTTCTCACTGGCCAGTTGAGTCACACCTTTGCCTTTTATTTTTATTCCACCTCGCTTGCATCTGATATGGTCCTGCTTCATCTCAATCCCTCTATATGATCTCCATCTGTCTCAGTGGTGCTGGCTGTTTCACAAGTCTGGTCTTGACCTTGACAGCTCCCAGTATGCTCCGTCTAATCTCTCATTGCGATACATTATCTCTATGCCATGCTAATAGGCTGGCCCATACGCTTCACATGTCTATGCCATCAGCACTTTTATCAAAGACTCTGGAGAATAGGCAGGCAGATTAGACAGACATATACACACATACATAAGCCTTTAAGATAACCAGCAACTGTGCAATTAGAACAATAAGAGCGAGGATGATGATGTGGGTGAAGCGTAGGGAGGTCTGTATAGAAGCTCAACATTAGAAGTGAGCGTGAAAAGAGCCTGTCTATTGGGGAAGGGTATATAATTAGTTAAGGACATGCACACGTATGCAGGCTGACTTCATATAAGGTATATGAAGTGAACAATGAACAGCATTTCTACAACAGATTTTTTAAAATAAATTTTTAAATTGATATACTTGAAAATATAAAGGTAGGAGTAAGCAACTAACTTCACCTAAACTACTAAAGACTCCATATTTACCTGATCTTTGATTCAAGGTGAAATGGGAATTAATAGCCTTTTGTAGCTCCTCAGCATATTTCACAATACCACTCAAAGACACTCTGGAATCACCACTGTAGGCTGTTATCAGCATGGATGGATACCTCTGGGTAAAAAAGCGATAATAAACCTAATGGTAAACAAACAAACAAACAAACAAACAAACATACAAACAAACAAACATACATACTTACATACATACATAAGTTGGAATGACTAATTTATACCTGAGGAGTGATGTTGTGAAGAGGACAATAACTGGCAATGATACGTTTGTGTGAAGGATTTCCAACAGGGTCACCCCATTCTTCTTTGTCCTCAATGGTCAGGGGCAGGCTAGAATCCTCCATTGTCCCCAACACGTCTAAAAAGGGTGCCTTAGGGAAGAAATCAATACAAAGTTGAATTGTATAATACTAATAAAGCAAAAGTATTTGTCTTACCTGGAGTGTCACAGCTTTTATTAGTTGTGGGTACAAGTTACAGAGTGCCCCCACTGGAACGGCTCCAGCACTGCAGGCAGTGAGTGCAGTGACTGAGGATGAGGAGACTCCAGAAGAGAAGAGATGTTGGAGGCATGCCACAAGGTCCTCCACACTTTTCTGTTTGCCCTTAACACGAGCCTGTCTATGCCAATAGAGGCCGCCCTCTCCTCCACCCCTAGCAAGCATTCAAAATCAGGTCATACATTTATTACAGCAACAGAGAAGCAAAGAAAAGGACACACTATCTGTACCTGATGTGACAGTATGCTAAAACCCAACCCAATTCCAACAAAAGTCTTTTCTTTGGACAAAACTCCATATTATGGTCCCTGCCATAAGATCCATAAACATGAACAAGCAGTGGCACTTCCTTTAATGCTTTCAAATGTGCAGCATGGAACAGTGTGATTGGCACCAATGTACCATCCTGTGGGGGAGTAAAGAGTTAAGGGCAATTGGAGGCTGCTATTAACTAGGCCTGTCACAATAATTACTATATCAACTTATCGTTCAAGACCTGACAGATGTAATAATTATTATAAAGTCAATATTTATTGTGGGTACTTTTTCTTTGTAGCAGTGGGAAATGTTTGGTTATTTTTCTGTACTACAATGAGATTTGAGCTGTTGAAGGTTGAAATATAAACTTCTATAACTCAATACAGAGACAAACTAACTGTAAGTATTGCATTCTGTTATTTATTTATTCCAGCTCATGTTTTTTTTAAATAATATTGTATATTTAGAATACTTTTTGGGGATAATTCTGCTTTATGTGTTGGTTTCAATATTATAGTTTAGTTTTGTCTATATTTACTTATGTACTTCAGCAATATATCGCACTTCAAAATTTCTTGTTACGACAGGCCTATTTTTGACACGTTTTAAACATTATACAACTTTGTTTATTGAATTTAAATGTACTAACTTTGCTGCAAGCTTCCAAGCGTGAGGTAGTGATAGTATTTAGTTGATCAATGTAGATTTTATTGCCTTCAGCACTTAAAACCAAACCTTCTTCTGGGAGCAGACAGAATTGGTGTGGTGGGTGAACAGGAGATGAGATCAAAAACTCCAAAGTATTGGTTTTGCCTCCTACACCTGCTTTCTTTGCCTCAAAAGCACAGGCCCAAGATGGTAGCTTTGGAAAAAAAAAGTTTGTCAGTAGTTTAAATAATCAAAACAAGTGATAAAATATAATGATACCTCCATAAAGTAGAGTACATCGGGATTGTTCAGTGACATTACAGTAAGCCCAATTTGACAAGAAGGTGTCCTTGTAATTAATACACCAAAATCTTCAATGATTTCCATGTCTTTTATAGTAAATCCAGGAGGTGGAAAATATAGAGGCATCCATGAATCAACTGCTGGCTCAGACAATGAAGTTTGAACCACCTACAAATAATTGGGGGAAAAAATATATATAATAAAAAAATAATTATTTTCCATTTGAATATGTTGAATTTACCTGATATTCCTGTCCAGGGCCAGTATTGGTCAGAATAATGAGTGAGCCTTTCCAATGCTCAACGTGATATAAAAGCTCTGGCACACGTCTTTGAATCATGAGTGGTTCATGACTCAGATTGTCTTTGTCAATGACTAGCACTTCTGAGCTGCTTCTGCTGTTACAGTTGATGGTGAGGAGTTTTTGATCTCGGGTGAGGGCTACCTCAACAAATACACTGCAACATTTAGCCATAGTAAGAAAACAGTTGTATAACTTACATAATATCTTAGTGCTTAATTTCTTACTTCAGCTTTGGCTCTGCAAATACAGATGTAATTTTTCTGTTTTTAGTTAAATCAAGACAAAATACTGTACTACTTCGCAGACCAACAATAGTTGTGAAATACAGGACATCATCTGTGGCCCACTCTTTAACACACAAAAAACACAGCAACATAAAGCTTAACACATCATTTCAAAAGGTGTATCTCATGTCAAGAATAAAGCAAAAGTCTTACCAAAGCTGAAAACTTTATCAAGGGTAAATATCACATGAGGCTGAATCAGTGAAAATAAAGTCTCATGTCCAAGATTTATTATTACACATCTAAAATAAAGCAGAAAAGATGTGCATCCTTAATCACTGTACATAGCAAAATATAATATTATTAATCATTAATACAGTTTTCACCTTTGCTCTTCTTTGTGATACTTTTTAAGGGTTACAGCAAGATGTCTTTCCTGTGGTGATAAACGTATTCTCTGAACAGCCCACTGCCCTACTGTTTTTGGACCTGATCCATCCCTTTCTAAAAACTGTTCCAAATCAAGCAGTCTTTCTGGTGACTGATTTGCTGTAATAGAACAAAATGGAATTATTCAGCAGTACGTTTCTGTTTGGAATTTATGGTGCAAAGATATGAAATTACTGATTATTTGTTTACCCTGTCTTTGATCAATTCTGTAGATGACATTTGTATCAATAAAATAAACATGATAAAGACCGTATACCTGCGAACATAGAAAATTATACAAAGGGCTGTATCTTTATACTGTAAAGACTCAATGCTGATATAATTGATACTGAAAATTATTAGTAATTATTAATACCTTAACTTATACCAAGTGCCTTACCATGGAATAATTAGGTACAGCATTGAAGTGAAGACATGTTGCTCTTACTCTCCTGTTGAAATACCTCTGCAAGTGTCTGTAACGTTCTGCTCCAGATGTGGGACAGAAGTTGTCCTGATGAAAGAAAAAAAAAAATCATACAACCTCATAACAATAACACTAAATCTCACCTAACATGCATCAAGTGATTCAAATGTTAAGATGGGCTTGTTGGTCCAGATCATACAGTCTATAGTCCAGATTGTGCCTTTTTTTTAATTTTTTTTTATTAATTAATCTCAAAACTACATGACTCAAAGCATGCACAAGAACGTAAAATAGATAATTTAGGACAGATCAGTAGCTGATATAGTGTGTTTCAGTGTACGATTTCTCACCGAGGAGTAAAATTTTGGGAGGACCACTCGTTTAAAATCCACACGTTTCCGAATAAAAAACTGAGCAAGTGTACGTAAATGGAAAGTGAGCATCATTAGGATTCTTTTAAAGTATAACTAATGCATGCTGTTGTATTTGAAAAGTAACGTTGCCTCTGTACTTCCCGTGAAAACAAACGCCGGACTTAAGGCAAATGCAATCAAACTCAGATAAGCCCCGCGTTGATCGTCATGCAGAAATTCCATTCTGAAGCGTTCTCTACTATCTACAATCGACTACACTGTCTGTCATGACAAAAGTGTACGGAAGTAGCACATTTCCATCATCCCCACCATGGATGTAACAGGTGAATAAGCATGGGAAATTCATCGTAGATATGGTTTAATAACACGTTTTTGTTATTTTGAACTGTTACACTGTGAAAGTTTGACAATCAAGTACGCAGGATCGTGATTTTTGTACGTTAATACAATGGAAAAACGCTCAACCGGTGCTAAAAACGTAACACCGGTCAGTAAAGACTTTGATGGAGAAACCGGTGAAGCTAATCCTCATATTTCCCATGCCGATTCCACTGCTAATGGCACCGCCAGAGCCAGATGGACCCTCCTGCGACAGGTAAGGTTTACAGCGGGCTTGGCCTGAAGCTGTCTCAAGCTGTGTTTGATTACCTGTTACAAGTTACAAACTCACAGTATGTTACTTATGTGTGTACTTGTATAGAGAGAAGAAAAGACAGAATTAATGAATTACCTGTTACTACTACTACTACTACTACTACTACTGCTACTACTACTACTACTACTATGACTATTATTACTTCTGGATTTGCCTAATGATTCTGTTATGGCCATAAAGTAGCCACATAAAAATAATTTGATAGCCTTATATCAAATTACACAACCCTGAATTGAACATTGAATTATAGTTGTTACATAACCGGTATGTTATTTAACAGTATACTCCACTTGTGATAGGTGCAGATTTAATGAAATACCCAACAATATACTGTAAACCTGGTGGTGTTTTACATCCCCAGCATTGCACGATCATGTTTCATTTTTTGGAGTGTCTCTAAATTACAACAATATAGAAATCAGTAAGACTGTATGAACTGGAGGATTTGGGCTGCACTGGATATGCACTGCTACACTGAAAGATGTTTTGCTTCCTCATATTTTCCCACAGGTACTGCGTCAAAAACAGGTCGACTGTCCTGAGGTGAAGCAGGTGTCTGTGCGCAGATTCTCCAGTTTTGATCTTTTTAGCAAAAAGAGACTTGTAATTCATGGTCCAAGTAATACCTCAGATGACCAATGGGTGGAGTACCGTAGTGTCTCTCTTCCGAAGTACAGTGCCTTACTTAGGTGAATATACATATCTTCTCTACTGAACAGAATTTTATGCAACAGTTAAACTCACGTGAAAGTTAAGTGTAATTACATATACATATTTCTTTCTTTCTTTTTTTTTTTTTTTTTTTTTTTTTTTTTACAGAGTTCATTTGGGGCCGCTCAAAGTCAATGAAGTTCTCAACAGTTTTGATAACACCGGTAATGTTTGTAAGTACATAATTCTTGATACTTGTTAAAAAGCCAGATGTCATGGTGAGAGTTCAAAACCATTGCTAATGCAATTGTTGTTACTGAACATTACATCACTCATTCCCCCCTTATTTGTATAGGTAATTTGTTTCTTCAGTTCAGGAAAAGGACTATCCTGTATTATTTGTATGTGAAAATTAGTTCTAAAACCCTCTGTAAACGCTACCTATAGCATTAATACAACAATTATCTTTCTACCCTGCTCTCCTCTCAGCTTGAGCTGTGGTTGGACATATGGGTAACTAAGTTACTGACTTACTGGTGGATTAGCACAGTGGGAGATGTGGAGGTGGAGAGTGGGTGGGCATGCCAGAGGTGGTGTGTGCATGTGTGTTTAAGAATGGAGAGTCACTAACACGGCACCCTGCTCCTCAGACAATGAGCTAGCCATTCAGCCTGTTCTTCACCCCATGTTTGGGACTAGTAATGCGTGTCATCAATTAATATTGGTTGAGAGAATGCTTTGAAAGGCCCAGAGGTCACCCTGTCAGTGCCCTGGGGTGTATTTGGGGATAGGGGGTGGGGGTTACACAGTATAGTACACTACTATTTAAAATCACACTTATACGTATGTCTGCTCACATCTGCAGCAGAATTCACAGCCACTCATGAATGTTCCCATTCGCACATACATTTACACACACATATCACACTCTCCACCTTCCTGCTATCCCAGTAATCTCCAACCCCTGAGGTGTGGACAAACCCAAATCCTAGGGGCCCTTGTCCTCCTGAATAGTGGGCTTAAAAGCCTGGCCGGATTAACCCACTACCCCTATAATGTGTGGACTCAGCCTAAAAGTGCTACCCCTTCTCACTATGACGCTCTCTACAAGCTATTCAATTTGTCCCACCACTGTGCACGTATGTGGACAATGTGTTATTTCGTAAAGTGACGATAAGCTGAAGTCAATGGTGTCATGTCAAGAGCTGGTCCTACTTAATATTTAAAATGAAAGTATTTGTTAAAGTCCTAATAATAATTGCCTCTATATTCATTATGTTATGTTAGGATTTTAGTTGCAACATTGTCTTTTCCGTACATCTGATTATAAAATACCTTGACTGTTTATGGTGAAATCTCTGATTCTGTGATAACTTTTGATGTCCCTGTCTCAGTATAGGATAGTACAAACAGTCTTCCTTCTATGCCCATCTAAGGACAAGTGCTATGCAGTAGCTCTGGCAATAGGAATTATAATTCCTGCTTTAGTGTACTGTGCTTGTGCTACACTCCTGTCTTGGTCCTACAAAATAAAATAAAATAAAATATTAATTTCATATTGACTTATGGCCTGCTTATGGTAAGTGTATAGTACCCATTACATTGTTTTCTTGCAGATCAGCTTGTAATTGTAAGAGTGTTTTGTCCAGGTGTTTAGAGGTTGAAAAGGGCTCATTTGCTGTTCAGGATGTCATAACACCATCCCTTGGGGTACAGTCACTAATGATGCAATGCAGGTGGGCTGTGCAAGTGCAGGGTTTTTCATATTCGTGAAAACATCATATCAAGTGTGGCACTACCTTTTTTTTAATGCCTTGATTTAAGGTTATTCTACTTTCTATTAAACAACTCCTTTCATGTAGTTTGTGGTGTAATATGGAAATATTTTATATGCTTGTTTTCATACATAAAGAATAGTAAATGGTATCCTGTCCCACCCAGAATCGTAAGACTCATCGCTACTCCTGTTCTTTTCTGAATAGCAAAATCAGAGTCATATCTATCATTTTCTGGATACATTATCCAGTAGTTCTGCTAATACTAAACTCTACTGCTAAAGATTTTCGCTTTGTGTCAAAGAAAGAAACATTTTAAGTTCAAGTTTAAAATAAACATATTTGGAAATAAGGCTGATGGTTGTGATAATGTGACCTGTTCTGTAGCGCAGGTGTGTGTTTTTATGTGCAGAAAATTCGTTGCAGAATGTTTCAGTGCGTGTGTATGTGGTAATAGGTGCCCCCTGTAGCCACCCCTTGTGCCAAGCCTTTAGAGAAGCCCTGTTTGCATAATTATGCTAATTCATTGTGCCATAGTGCTAATTAGACCTTGTTAGACAATAGTGCAAGGCTGGAAGCTGGCAGACACACACACAGAGACATGCTCACTCAGACTGTTGTGTCAATGACAGCATTTGTAGACCCCCTCTGCGCTGTTTATAACATGTTTTCTATAGAAATGGTTATCTACTGTTGTGCCCAAAGCTGAGCTCAGGTGTCTTTTACCATTTTGATTTTGGCTAATGGGTTCAAAATCAATGTGAAATCAAATACTCCACATGCCTCCTTTAAGGTCTAGCACCAAAGTCAGATACACGCTTTTGTTTACAAAAACTGATGCAGTTTGCCTTCTGTTTTGTTTTTTTCATATGCTAGTGTAGACCCTGCAAAGTTTGTCCAATTCTGAAAAAATATATGAAAGTGTGAACACCTGTTATATTTTCAGGGGTGATGCAATGGAAGTCTTATAGCTTTAAAGCGTATTTACAGAAATTGCCAGTTGATGTAATTTGTTGCAATTGATTTAAACTTGCATGACCCAGTCAGTTCCTTTCTTTTACTTGGAGAAACAAGAAGAAGGAAGTTGCCTGTAGTCGTTTATCATTTACAAGTAGTGTTCTTGACATGATGCTAATGTGCTGCACCTCACATTAGTTGATGTGGACGCAGTTACACAATACATTCCCTGCAGTCAGCCATTATGACTCTGGGCACAATAGGGATTGAGGAGAGCTGCTGGGTGTATCTTTACTCTAGGACTCCTCTCCCATTATAGTCCATAGTTGATTATGTGAATTTAAGCATGACTGAAAGTTGATGTGTGTGTGTGTCCAGATGTGTGTGCATGTGTGCACAATTACCAGTAAGCGGTGGGATTAAGTTCAGGAAATGAGTAGAGCGTTAAAGAGGTGCTTCCCTGCCCAGTGCTCCTGCATTGTCACCACTGCTAATACTCAGCTAATTACAAGGACATACTTTAACAGCAAGCTCAGCTTTTCAGTGTGGTCTGCCTCTGCCACAGTCCCCTCCCATTCTTATGTTACCCCTTCAGCCTGGAATTAGGGGATGAACTGAGAGAGTAATAACATGCCTTCCCCACCTAAAAGCTCACACCCCCTCTGGATGGATACAATTATTGGATTTTTCTCCATTTAAGTCGGCCGCTATGTGCCCCTCCTGACTGTCCCCTATGGCGGATTAACTCATACATTGCGGCCTAAAGGTATATTCACAAGATACAAGTAAATAGCTAAATTAAACTCCATAGCCCATTAAAAGTAGTATTTTTCATCATTTTCAAATCAAATATTGATTGATATTCTTGCAATGAGAAACAGTAAGCTTAAACTATATTTCCACAAATTTTCAAACAAAAATTATCATTACTTCATGTTTTTACATTTTATGTTTTGCATGTTTGGCAAGGCCCAATTTACATTTGTTTCTTCTGCTCGAGATTTTGGCCCATCTTTTGAAATCAGTGGGGAAGCATTCATAGCCTACAGTAGAACTGCCAGTTAAATTCAACCTGTCAACACGTTTTGTGTGACTACTATGTGTTTGCCATAGAGCTAAAAAGCTATTAATTTGCTTAGTGACTCCCAGTATAAAATGAACGCTCAACTATTACAGTTCCTTTTTCAGCATGTCAGTCTGTTTCTGCTGCAAGACTTTACAAATAGCCCCACAGGGGTCTTTAGCTGTCAGTTGGCCAAGCTAACGTTAAGGAAGGTGTTGACAGTAATAGGTATGCTAAATGCTAATGTGGGCTAGCCAAGACCTCTGAGGGAAAAGCTAAATGATTTTCAACTGTTCCCTTGTGACTACTGTACTCACTAACTCACTGTTGTAGCTCTCTTGAGCTTTAAGTATTAGGTACCATCGCTGTCCTTTGAGAGGCTGTTACCACTGTTTTAGTGGGAAATATCGTATTACCAGAGCAGCAGAGTAGACATACAGCTTTTAAAAACATTCACATGTGAACCTAGAGCTAATCAATGAATGGCAAAAGGGGCCTGCTCATTCAGTACACACTTGTGTCCTTGTCAGTTCTCAGTAGGCTATGGCGCCATACACCTTTATGTTTGTCCACTCAGGCTGAATCGCCCTCCACCTCTCATATCCAGAAAACAGTGGGAGATATGGGACATTAAGTGGGTGTCGCAGAGTGTTTTTGAGATTCCACTTTTAATTGTGTCTCAACAGGTGATATTATACTGGACATGAGACACTGCTTCTGATTGCTTGACTGCAGTTTAATGGGTGAAAGGACAGTGTTTCATAGTTTTATAATAATCCGTCTGAACATTTGATAATTGAACAATGCAGTATTCAAAAACCAGAACTTCCTGTCTAAGTGCTGGGGGTAGTGGGGGCAGTGGGGATTAGCAGAAGATTGGTGCACCAGGTTGCTAGACTGCTCTCCTTGAAAGTCTATGTACCGCCCCACTGGGCCTTTCATAGTGTGAGAGTGAGAGTGTGTGCGGGTCTGGCCTGGCTCTGCAGTGGGAGGTTTAAGTGCAGGATCACAGATGGTGACATTAGCTTTCTGTAATACTCCACATCACCTCTGCCTCTAACACTTCCTTTGTTCCCCTCAGCCACATGACTGGTTCTTAAAAAAAATAGTATAATCTTATTGTAGCATCTTAATTAGAAATAAGGATCTTGACAGAAGTATGCAAAATGTATTAATGGTATCACTACAATTTTTATGAATATACTCCTCAAACCTTAAACTACCACCATGTCATTACATGCCATTACAAAGGCCTAATGTGTGACTTTATTATTTATGATTTAACAGTTTATAGATTTTAACTTGCTGCTATTTACATTAGAAATAAACTTGAATTAACTTGAATTGAACTGAATTGGTTAACACCTGAAACTGTATCCTTGAAATGATGTCTTGATAAAATCAGTTAACTATTGGGGGATGCTTTTTTCCATGCCCC